TGAAAAAAACCACAAAGATAGAATAATAAAGTTCTGGAAAAAACACTACATATTGTAGGAAAGACATTTCAAATACATATTAGTTTATTCCATTTAATGTTTACATGCTGCAAACATGCACACACAAACACTCATCTGCAGCCTAAGTGTTAGTTGTTTATCACTATTTACAAGGCAGTTATGTTTTTAACAGTTTCAAAGGCAGAGTTCCAGATAACGTGCGTATCGGCGTATTTTACGCTTCAAAATCAACTCAATACGCACCATATTTCAAATTTCTTGCGTTAATTTACGCATGCTATAAATTAAATACGCAAAGAATAAAAAATCGAAGCGTTTTTGGTGTGTACTTTCATTTTCGAAACAGCTGATTCCGTTTCCGTTTAACATTTGACTGTGTTTCTTTTTATATGCCCGAAAGAATTTCGGGCATATTATGTTATACCCCCTGGCGTCCGTCTGTCCGTCCGTCCGTCCGTCCGTCCGTACGTCCGTCCGTCCGTCTGTTAGCAATTTGGTTTCCGGAGCATAACTTTAGTTCCATTTGGCCCACAGTATTCAAACTTCATAGGATGATTGCCCATATTAAGTAGAAGACCCCTATTGATTTTGGGGTCACAAGGTCAAAGGTCAAGGTCACTATTAGCTAAATACTGAAAATGGTTTCCGGAGCATAACTTAAGTTCCATTTGACCCACAGTATTCAAACTTCATAGGATGATTGCCCATATTGGGTAGAAGACCCCTATTGATTTTGGGGTCAAAGGTCAAGGTCACTTTTAGCTAAATACTGAAAATGGTTTCCGGAGCATAACTTGAGTTCCATTTGACCCACAGTATTCAAACTTCATAGGATGATTGTCCATATTAAGTAGAAGACCCCTATTGATTTTGGGGTCACAAGGTCAAAGGTCAAGGTCACTATTAGCTAACTACTGAAAATGGTTTCCGGACCATAACTTAAGTTCCATTTGGCCCACAGTATTCAAACTTCATAGGGTGATTGCCCATATTGGGTAGAAGACCCCTATTGATTTTAGGTTCACAAGGTCAAAGGTCAAGGTCACTTTTAGCTAACTACTGAAAATGGTTTCCGGACCATAACTTAAGTTCCATTTGGCCCACAGTATTCAAACTTCATAGGGTGATTGCCCATATTGGGTAGAAGACCCCTATTGATTTTAGGTTCACAAGGTCAAAGGTCAAGGTCACTATTAGCGAAATACTGAAAATGGTTTCCGGAGCATAACTTAAGTTCCATTTGGCCCACAGTATTCAAACTTCATAGGATGATTGTCCATATTGGGTATAAAAAACCCTATTGATTTTAGGGTCACAAGGTTAAAGGTCAAGGTCACTATTAGCTAAATACGTAAAATGGTTTCCGAAGCATAACTTAAGTTCCATTTGACCCACAATATTCAAACTTCATAGGATGATTGTCTATATTGGGTAGAAGACCGCTATTGATTTTGGGGTCACAAGGTCAAAGATCAAGGGATTTCTATCACCTTTAAACTGGAAACAGTTTTCGCTCAATAACTCTAGTATTAATCGAACTACAGCTGTAAAATTTTATAGGATTAACAGCTTTATACCCCTGACGTCTTGGTGTCCATCCGTTGTAGCATTTTTACTTACAAGATAACAACTTGATGGTGGTGCTTTGAAAACAGCAACTGTATATATACATGAATGTTCTTCAGCTATAAAGGAGGATTGCTTTTTGAAGGAGGTAATACTGTATTTAATTCCCATGTCTTCCTCACTAAAAGAAAGAGTACTTTCGGGCATATAATGCTCCGCCTAGCGGTGCTCTTGTTTCCATTTGATACCCGCCCAAATGTTTCCAACTATTTTTCATTCTGTAAACCAGTCAAATTATGTCTTTATCGCATAGGCGCTTCCTAAAATGGGATGCTTGATTTCCTTTATTATTGCAAGCGTTTATTAATAAAGACTTACATCATGGCTGCTTCCAAGCCAAAGCACAGGAAAATTGACAATTTTTTTTAACACGACTGAGTTGCCTGCTAAAACAATTGTAAACCCAATTGTTGAAGACATTTTAGATATTGTATTTAAAGTGAAAAGGGCTCACATAACTGTGAATCGCTATACAACACTTGAAAATTGTTAAAAAAGTTATCCGTGGCTGCAAATTATTGAAGTGCAAATGAAATGTCTGACTTGTCATAAATTTAAAGCTGGCAATGTATGGGCTAATTATACAGAAATCAGCAATTGACAGGTGATAATTTGTAATGTTATAGTTTATGTATTGTCACCAATTTTTGTTGTAAACAATGTAAAATAAAGTTAAGAATATAGTAAAAGCCTTTCAATTGAAGTGATTCACGCTGAAGCCTGAATATCAGAGAATGGTGTGTTACTTTTAATGTAATAAACCTGTGATGCAGCAAAAAAAGTAAAGTAATTTAATTGTACTCTTTAAATTTATGATATATCTAAATTTACCCTCACATTCTGAAAAGTGGGGGTAATTACCCCCAGTGTCAAAAAATTATCTGGAACTCGGTCAAAGGTAAAAACCATCATTTAATCATGACCTTAGATTTTCAGTATGTCTACAATTATGTCAAGGTCTGCAGGTCAAGATTTCCTCTGCCATTTACCAAATATTTCCCTGGTTGTTTATTGTAGACAGTTACTGTAAAAGGAATGAAAACTTTACATGTATGTGAAATGATGAAATATTTTATTTTTTTTTTTGGCTTCATCTGAATTAAATAATAATCAGTTGCGTGCTCAACATATCAGTGAAAATACAATAAAAAAGTTAAACTCCTGGCAGATGCATGAAGTCTTGGAGTCCGTTGAAACTGTAAACTGTATACCTTGGAATTATGAGTAACACGGATATATGAGGCAAGAGTATACATTGATTATTATCCATATCTTATGTAACGATAATGTTCACGTCTAGAACATAATCATCAACTTGTCTAGTGGCTGATCAGTCATTTAAACATAGCAACAGTCCTTACATATCATATGCATAATTATTGAATTAAACAAATTTAACACATTAAAAAGGTCAATATAAAGTGAAATTAAGTAGGAACAATGCATTATACCATTATAACATTTTATACAATACACACTACATCAGATTTAACCTACCATCTGAGGAATGAGTCCAGTACATCAATCTAATAAATTACACCTCCTCCTCTCTATAACACCAGTGAGTGTTAACTGCAAGGTAAAATATTAATGGTGAATAAAAGAGAAAAGTTGACTTGATAGATACATGTCATTCTGAAACTCTTACTTAATTACAAATTTCACAATCAATGGACTGGACCAAATACTTAATAGAACAGAATTACAATAATGCAATACCTAATATTTACAGCAACAGTCAGGATAAATACATACCAAGTTAAGAAATAAAGAACTTGACCACAAAACATTAATCTTTCCACTTCTCTTCACAATAACAAAGACACAATGACTTCCCACTTAGAAATCACAGTACATAAAAATACCTTAAAATCAGCCATCCATGAACCAATCATTTGATTTCTTAGCAAACTGACCACAGATCATAACCAATAGTGTAATCTCCCTTTGAAAAGTTTCAGACAAGACTGGCAGATTTGTATCCCTTTGGTTAATTATGAAATTGCACAGTAATGCAAGAGTTTTGTACCTTACACCAAAGCTTTAGTTATTTTTAGGCGATATTCGGTCATATTTCCTATATTAGTTTATTATTTTTCCAATTCACAGGAACCCCATTTGAAAGTTACGAAAATATTGAATAACAAATTTTAAAATGGCTTCTTCACTGTTATGGTGCTTAAATGTTTGAAGATGCTGTCCTAGGCAGTGATTCTTTGCATTCATTTAATCACTGCAAAATTTAAGACATGCATTTTTTCCAAATTTTTAAGAAAAGATTGCTGAAATTCCCATTTCCATGGATATGGATCTTTTTTCCAAAATCCTGGAAAAAGACCCTGCATCATGTCGTCCTTTCTTCTACATTTCTACATTGTTTTATTAGTGATAGACATCCTGCAAAAGCTGACAAATGTACTGTTTATAAAAATAACTGAAAATTACTATTTATTACTTGAATATAATATGTCTGTAAAATTGATTGACCCATTACTTCATGAGCATTTTGTGAAAAATGGCTGTTTTCATTGAAAAGTCTCCCACTACAAGTTCAAATTGCTATAATACTATAAAAACTGCTTCAACACTAATCAAACTTGGCACAAATGTTGACTGGACCATTGCCCTTGCAACAACATGCTCGGGCTTAAATTTTCTGTTACCATGGCAACGAGGGGACATCTCAAAATTGCCAAAAATCACTATTTTGCGTTGATTTTTTCCATTATAATTGTTTCAAAGTGCTGCAACTTCTCAATGGATTGAGATAGAGTCAAATGCTTTTCAGCGTTGGTTACATGTTACCTTATGATCAATCTGGGGTCATTTATAGCCTCTCACAAGTCCAAAATTTTCTTGGCCACCGCCCCCCTTCACACCCCCCTAACAGAAGGGGGCACATCCCCCTTCTGGCAACCCCCTGATGAATCTTTTGGTTGGGGGGCCGCGCCGAAAAAGTGGTCACTTTTTTTAACGACATTTCTCAAACAAAAACAAGTGTTAAGGGCCTAAATAATGCATATTTTCACCATTTGAGACAACAAAAGAGGGGGGGGGGGTGAAAAAGGCGTTAAAAGGCGTGTATATGAAGTAATGGGTTAACTGACAATAGTGAGAGAATGGTCATTTCTGATCATTGTGAAATGTACTGGGTTTATGCACTTTAAATTAATTAATTAAATTAATACGAACAACACTTAATTAGATGCAAATGGGATTATTGTGATAAAACTTGTTGTGTAATATGATATACTCTCTAGTCACGTGGGTTTAACTCAGTGTAGATTTGTCTCTCTGATAACAGTTTGATAGAATGCTGTAACATGTAAACATAATTTTTTTTTTTTATGCTCTAGTACTTGGAATAAAACTTATATATATTTAACAGTGTTATGGTTATAACTGACCATCGGTCATTCAGATAATAGTACATGGTGTCAGAAGTTAAAACAGAGAGGCACATGTGCAACAAAAGTACAGAAGAAAAACATGGACTTACATTAAATTGTAAACAATGAAAAGGATTTACATTAAATTGTAAAAAAAAGGACTTACATTTAATTGTAAATTAATAAAACACTGTTGATCGGATTAACATTAAATTGAAAATTACTAGCTTGACTACATTATATTGTAAAGAACTAAAGCATTGAATTTTAGAAGAAATTTCAGAAAAATGGAGCAGTTGCAACCTCCAGAAAACTTTGATTTTTCAAGCCCAAAAAAATGGAATAAGTGGAAACAAAGATTTTCTTTCTACAGAACAGCTTCAAAACTTCTTAAAGAAGATGAAGATATACAAGTCCCTACACTGGTATATACCATGGGAAAAGAAGCTGACAATTTATTAAAATATTTTGAACGATCAGAATGTTAAAAAAAATATGGAACTGTCTCAACAAAATTCGACGAAAAATTTTAATCCAAAGAAAAATATAATTCACGAACGAGCATAATTCCATAAGAGAAACCAAAAGCCAGGTGAAACAGTAGAGACATTCATTAGATCTTTATACAAGTAAATAAGAGATCGAATCGAAGTTGGAATTTTAGATAAAAATTTGTCAGAAAAACTGCAGCTTGAACAAGACCTTACTCTCGAAAAATGCGTAACAATGGTAAGAAACAGCGAAATAGTTAAAAACCAAATTCGATCACAAATGGATGTAGCTGTAACAGACGAGGCAAAGCCAAAACGATGTTTGGTACTGCAACCACACGTTTCTCGACAGCAGGATGCGACGTAGAAATTTCCGGGAACACAATCTAGACAATCGAAGAAAATCTATGATAAACAGTGTTCAAATTGTAATAAATATCATGCAAGAGGACATTGTGCAGCTTTTGGGAAAGTATGCCGGAAATGTGGACATTATAATCATTTCGCAGTGTGTTGTAAAACTAAAAAAGTACATGAACTGTGTGCAAATGACGCATCATCATATTTAGTAGCCCAACAAATTGTGCGCTTTAGGGCTTTTTTATATAGACATCTATGAAATATCAGATTATAAAATCGGTCTGTCTTGCCGTCGAAATATTGAGACTACATATTTAGGAACTATTGACTGTGTACCAAATGAACTTTGGACAATAAAACTTCAGGTGAGAGATTTGTTTGTCTTCTTTAAATTAGACACTGGTGCTGATTTGACTGTTATTCCTGAAAGTCTTTATAATACTTCAGGCAAGCCAAAATTGAATAAAACTCACAGATTGTTATACGGCCCAGGTAACAAAAAATTGATAGTCATCGGTTCATTTACACAGACTCTTTCACTCAACAAGAAAATATATACATTGTAAGAGACATAGATAGATGTCAGGGCCAAAAAACCCTTTTTTGTAGAGGCCGAATATAGGCTGCTTCCCCAACCAAAATAGCCTCTTTTTTCCCCCAGTTCGGTCCTCAAAACTCCCCATTCTTGAAATTTCCCATAGAATTTAGAACAAAATTAAATGAAGGTGTTTAATTAAGGTTTTTTACTGCCTTATTAGTATTTCTCAGTGCTTTTTGCTTTTCTATTTTGAAGAACTTGTTAAAAGTTTGCATTAAATTTGAGACTCCTTTTCCCAAAGTATGCCAAAATCACGAATAGATCTATTTTCCCCAAGAAAAAGGATGAGGCCCCTGCCCCAAAAATGGTGTTTAGGCCTTGGATGTTTATTAGGGAGACCTGCTATAAAGAATCTCAATTTAATTCAATTAAATTTGGACGAGATTCAAACCATTGAAAACATCAAACAGAAGCATCCTAATCTATTTTGCAAGCTAGGGCAATTAGATGGTGAATATAGTCAGTATCATTTGCGTCAAGGGCATTTACACCCACAGAGGTTATACAGTGTTCCTGAAGAAGCACTAGGCGTAGTTACTGGGGCTGAACGACATAGTGACCTTTTGATTGGAAAACATTGCCATATCAAAACTGACTGTAAAAGTCTTGTTAGTCTTTTAGGACTGATCTACCGGTAAGGTAGTCTCAATTTTTCGACGGCAAGACAGACCGATTTTATAATCTGATATTTCATAGATGTCTGTCTTTAAGGGCGACCATCGTATATATAAAAAAAGCCCTAAAGCGCACAATTTGTTGGGCTACCGGTAAGGGTACAAAGATTTAGAATGAGACTGCTATCTAAGATTCTCCTAATCGATAAGCTTTGTGTCTGGAAAATTGATGTATATGTATAGGTTAGTGTTTAATAATATGTATTAACAAAAATAATTGGTCAAGCCTGCCTGTGGCAGGGGACCAATTATTTTTGTTAATGCATATTATTAAACATTAACCTATTTAATGATCAACATTATTATGACCCCCAAAAACGAAGTTTGGGGGGTATATAGGAGTCACCCGGTGGTCGGTCGGTTGGTCGGTCGGTCGGTCGGTCCAGACGTCCGTTGCATTTTCCTTGTCCGGAGCATAACTTGAAAACTAATGATTGGAATTCAATATAACTACATACAATGGTCAAGCACATTGAGAGGAAGTGCAGTGCACAAGAACCATAACTCTATCTTGACTAATTACAGAGTTATTGCCCTTTGTTAATTTTCCTTGTCCCGGGCATAACTTGAAAACTACTGGTTGGAATTCAAAACAACTTCATACAATTGTCAAACACAATAAGGGGAAGTGCAGTGCACAAGAACCATAACTCTATCTAAAGTAATTACAGAGTTATTGCCCTTTGTTGCTTTTCCATTGCCTTCTTTTTTTTGTCCGGACCATAACTTGAAGACTAATGGTTGGAATTCAATATAACTACATACAATGGTCAAGCACATTGAGAGGAAGTGCAGTGCATAAGAACCATAACTCTATCTAAAGTAATTACAGAGTTATTGCCCTTTATTACTTTTCCATTGCTTTCTTTTGTCCGGACCATAACTTGAAGACTAATTGTTGGAATTCATTATAACTTCATACAATGGTCAAGCACATTGAGAGGAAGTGCAGTGCACAAGAACCCATAACTCCATTTTGACTTATTACAGAGTTACTGCCCTTTGTTTTTTCCTTGTCCAGAGCATGACTTTAAAACTACTGGTTGGAATTCAAAAACAACTTCATACAATGGCCAAGCACAATAAGGGGAAGTGCAGTGCACAAGAACCATAACTCCATCTTGACTAATTACAGAGTTATGCCCTTTGTTACTTTTCCATTGCTTTCTTTTGTCCGGACCATAACTTGAAGACTTATTGTTGGAATTCATTATAACTTCATACAATGGTCAAGCACATTGAGAGGAAGTGCAGTGCATAAGAACCATAACTCCATCTTGACTAATTACAGAGTTACTGCCCTTTGTTACTTTTCCTTGTCCAGAGCATGACTTGAAAACTACTGGTTGGAATTCAAAACAACTTCATACAATGGTCAAGCACAATAAGGGGAAGTGCAGTGCACAAGAACCATAACTTAATCTTGACTAATTACAGAGTTATTGCCCTTTGTTACTTTTCCTTGTCCAGAGCATAACTTGAAAACTACTGTTTGGAATTCAGTACAACTTCATACAGTTGTCAAGGACATTAAAAGGAAGTGCAGTGCACAAGAGCCATAACTCCATTTTGACAAAATACAGAGTTACTGCCCTTTGATACTTTTCCTTGTTCCGGAGCATAATTTAAAACGTACTGGTTGGAATTCAAAACAACTTCATACAATGGTCAAGCACAATAAGAGGAAGTGCAGTGCACAAGAACTATAACTCTATCTTCAGTATTTATAGAGTTATTGCCCTTTGTTCTTTTTCTTTGTCTTTCTGGACTTATTACAGAGTAATTCAATTAAACTTCATCAATGGCCAACCACATTGAAAGGAAATGCAACATACATGAACCACAATTATCTTTAATTGCCCACAACCATAACTCTATGTTTCAATTCCATTACAAGATATTCTGTTACTAGTAACATCCTCATTTTTGAAGCAGACTTGTGGGGGTATTAATCACATTTAGTGATAGTTCTAGTTTTTTCAACCAAAAACAAGGCATTTCACTAAATCACCGATAGCTCCGCCCTTTCGCTCTACAAGATGTCTACACCTTGTCAAGTTTCTAACATATCACATTTAGATAAGCTAAATAAATGCCCTCTCAACAAATAATCAGGCACATTTTTTACTGAAATGTCACAGAATTTATACCTGTCTCTATAGAATATCTGGAAAAAAAACAGCGAGGAAAATGATGCAATTAGGTAAAAACAATGGAGTTAATGAAATGTGTACATCCTTTATAAATAAATGGAAAATGTGAGAAAATACATTAGATTAATAATTTATACAAATTCGTTATTAGCTTTAAGTTATTCACTAACATTTAAAATCTCTATTGATTTGCTCATTCAATCTAGGTTTACAGGTGGAGGGGGTCCATTTACAATGAGTTTTCCAGTCATTGTATTCTTAAGATCAAGGATTGTTAATGCAGTTCATTCCATTCAACTGAAAGAAAATTATGTCTTGGTAACATTTTCTAGAAAAAAGAAAGAAGTTTAAAACAGTCAGTAATTTATAACAGACATTTTTCTTAGATTTAAAAGGAAATAAAAACGTTACTATGTAATCATTTGTCTCTGCATGCCCAACATGTATTATCTATGTAATAAATTAATTGATTGTATCCTCACATTTAGTAACATCTGACCTCGCTTAATTGTTTTTTACTTGGCATTGTTTTGCTAACCTAGATATTTTACAATTCAGAGTGCAAATCACACCTCAAACTCCTCCCTAATATAATGCATTATTGAAATTTGTTAGACTGGTTAGACGACAGATTAAGTAAATTTTATTTAGTTAGTACATATTAACCACAGTTAGACTTAGCAGAAATTTGAAAAATAGTACAATGTGATTGGACAAAAAATAATGTTGATCATTAATCCTGATTACTTGTCGCATGCTGAATGTGACACCTTAACATTTACTGACTATCAAAATTGTAATGAAACCGAATTGTATGTTGACTCAGTTGTCACCAGACTCCCAGCTACAGAAAAAAGGCTGGAGGAAATTAAATCAAAACAAAAATCTGACTATATGTGCAGCAAATTAATTGAATATACCTATAATGGGTCGCCTAATACAGAATCGTGTGAAATTGCCAAATTGTATAAACTTTATAGGTCAGAAATTACTGTGAATAAAAGTTTGTTAATGAGAAATGGCAGACTTGTTATTCCACCAGACATGAGACTAGACATTCTGTCTATGTTTACACCAAGCTCACCAAGGCATTTCAACATCATAAATGTAGAGCAAGGGCAAGGCACTGTGACATACAGCAAATGATTCAGAATTGTGACATTTGTGCAAAATTTCAAAATGACAAAAGAGAACCAATGATATCTACTCCATTTCCTATTTATAGAAGTTGGTCAAGATTAGGTTCAGATCTTTTTCATTGGCGCGAACATATGCTTTTCTCTCATCGATTCGTGACTCTTTTAATATTTGGAAAAATTGCACCTGCACAACAAATATCAGACATACATACAGTTCAATTAGTGCACTTGTTAAATAAATTCATTATCTAAAAGTTCAAAAACTTTAAATTACTTTTAAAAACAACTGCTCAAAGATTAGAGCATCTGAACATGTCAACCATGAGTGTCTTGCTCAGCTGGACGCTTACCCATCGATTCGTGAAATCCGATTCACTCTGTGACATCATCAATATATAGGGGCTCACACCACTAAATATTTGCATGGTTATTTTCAGCCCGATCTGATCAATATATGTTTCAAAGTCTTAAGTAAATTTTTGTAGCATAATGAATATTTTTTTGGCTTAATTGTAAGTGTGTTTGATAAATTAAAACATCAATATCGAATATTTTAAAGTAATGAGGTCATCAGCTGATTGTAGGGTACGCTCATTTACACCTGTTCAATTTTGCATTTTGATTGGATAGAATTGTCAAATAGAGTGTCTAATAAAACTTGTGTAGTTTACGGATGGTGTATGTCCTTGCAGAAGTATTTGTATCAGACAATTATTTAGGTCACGAATCGATGAGAAGGCACAAATCGATGAGAATTAGGCATACATATTTATCAGTAGTAGATTACTTTTCACGATATATAGAATTATTGTCTTCGGTGGCGGTAGTTCAATATTATCGAGACAATAAATAAACAATATAAACTATAAAGTACTTCAAAATAGAGAGAAAACATACTGTGCTAACGCTAAGCAAAATTTTGACATAAAAAGATGTGCACAAAATTTGCCTTCATTAAAGAAAGGGGACAGAGTACATATATAGAAGGTAGAGTAATTAAGAAAGCTTAGCGACCACGATCTATTATAGTTAAGACACCGAAATCTACCGTAGTTTAGTTAAGTTGCATAAACGAGTTGACTTTGATAAAGAAATAGGTATTCCTTTCAATGAAAATTATAAGACCTCAAAAACTTTATTGTCTACAGTACCAACTAATTCAGTGTCTAATTATGTAGATAAACAAGTGTGGTGCAGGTGTAATTACTAGATCAGGCAGGCTGAGTAAACACCCAGATAGAATAAATTTGTAATGTTGATCTTGATTTAACAAATGTTTACATGTTGACAGGATTTAATGATTATTCAATAATGTGTGTTTAAAAACATAATTGATATTTAGGTTACATTTCACATTTTCTCACAGAGTTTAAATTGTTGTTAATGAAATATTTGAGGTAATAAATGAATGAACTTACAGGCTTTTTAGTAAGGGGGTGTTGTGTAATATGATATACTCTGGTTTAACTCAGTTTGATAAAGAATGCTTTAACATGTAAACATGCTCTAGTACTTGGAATAAAACTTATATATATTTAATAGTGTTATGGTTATAACTGACCATCGGTCATTCAGATAATAGTACAAAACTTAGAAAAATCATATGATTAAAAAGTCAGTAATACATTGTACTTATTGCATGTGCATGGGTTGCCATATGATCACATTGCTGTGTTTATACAATCAGTGTGGTCACATGGTTATTTACATAATTAACTCCTCACTTTGTTCAAATTTGAATTGTTTTTAAATAAATATAAGAACCTATTTCTTTGATACATTTTGAAATTTCTTATCTAGACTGATAGATTATTAACTTATTAAGCTTCATATAGGATTTTTTCATTGGTAAAAAACATTTTTACATCAAATACTTTCAAAAATCTGTCTCTTTGCTGAATACAATACAGTCTGAAAATTCAAGGGAAACAACCCACCAGCCATTACCCCCCTTTTATACCTAGGTTGGTTCTTAAACAGCTCTGAGTTTAATTTCACAGTAAGAAACTTTAATTTACTTTAAGATAAGATTTGTCAGTGTTATACTGTTAGGACTGTATATAAGATAATATCAAAGTTACAACAATTTAAGCAAATTTCAAAACTTTGGCATAGACAGGTCAAGTAAAATGTTATCACTGCATCAATAGAAAAACGTAGTCAGGCTTTCACAGGTCAAACTGCTGCCATAAAATCTATGAACATTTACAGGATTGGTCAGTACCAACCCTAGTAGCACATAGCACCGGCATGTATCCCTTTACTGCACAAAATAGATTCTGGAGCTAAAATTATAAAAATCTTGACCGGCTAACACAGGTCAAACTGCTGGCGGGAATTTGATGTAACTTCACAGGAGTGATGCAGTACTAACCCTGGTTGTGCATATCACCAGCATGTCCTGCTTCTTTGCACAAAGAGGATGCCAGAGCTAAAAATAGAAAAATATTATCAGGCTTTCACTAGACTTTGTATTTGTAAATCTGATTGGAGATTGTTAATAGACAAGTAAGATTGCACTAACATATTCTCCCATATTTTACTATTTTGTGTAGGTACGAGGTCTGGTACAGATGTCAGATGATGAAGAAGAGCCTTTGATAGATGATTCACTTCTTGTTACCAATGTGACAGCTGAGAGTCTGGGATTCACCGTTCCTCAAGGAAAACACGATTCTGATCCTGGTCCGGGAACTTCTAAAGCCACAGTTGTACAGACCACTGATAGAACTGGCGCCACCATCCTAACATTTCCTGCCAGTATGGAACTAACATTGCAATACCTGTCTGGTATGAAATTTAACAATTATTTAATGACTCATTGTTTAGTTTTCATATATACAAAAGATTGCTTTGAAATTTAATATTTGTGAGACATGTTTTCAGTCTCATGTTGTTAGAAATTAGATAAGTGGTTCCATGTTGGCGTCCAATTATCATCTGATTGATAAATAAGTGTATTGTTTGAATTATAAATGTTGACATATCAAGGCTCATTCCCATGGGTTGGGGTTTCCCTATCCTGAGTATCCTCTATCTAACCCAATGAAAGATTCTATTAACCCTTTACCTCAAATATACGCGACACAACGCACTTTCGACCCCCCCCCCCCTTTTTTATGCCACCGCAGCATCTGCGATGCGGTGGCATATAGCGATTCACACTGTGTGTGTGTTTGTTTTTGTGTGTGTGTGTGTTTATATAGATTATATAGTGAACTTAAAAAATCTTCTTGTGAAAAACCACTAGTCCAATTTAAACCAAACTTGGCAGGAATGATCCTTGGGTGAAGGGCTTCCAAAGTTGTTCAAAGAATTTCATTCCATGCAGAAATCTGGTTGCCATGGCAACCGAAAGGAATTATAAGAATAAATTTAAAAAATCTTCTTGTAAAGACCCAAAGGCCTAGAGCTTAGATATTTTGCATAAGGCATTGTCTGGTAGACCTCTACCAAGATTGTTCAAATTATAGCCCTGGGGTCAAAATCGGCCCCGCCCCAGGGGTCATTGATTTTCACTATATGTACATATAGTAAAAACTAAAAATACCTTCTTGTAAAGACCCAAAAGGCCTAGAGCTTATATATTTTGCATAAGGCATTGTCTGGTAGACCTCTACCCAGATTGTTCAAATTATAGCCCTGGGGTCCAAATGGGCCCCGCCCGGGGGTCATTGATTTTCACTGTATGTACATATAGTAAAAACTTAAAATACTTTCTTGTAAAGACCCAAAAGGGCTAGAGCTTAGATATTTTGCATAAGGCATTGTCTGGTAGACCCTTACCAAGATTGTTCAAATTATAGCCCTGGGGTCAAAATCGGCCCCGCCCCAGGGGTCATTGATTTTCACTATATGTACATATAGTTAAAACTTAAAATACCTTCTTATAAGGACCCAAAAGGCATAGAGCATAGATATTTTGCATAAGGCATTGTCTGGTAGACCTCTACCCAGATTGTTCAAATTATAGCCCTGGGGTCAAGGTGACCTAGATTTTGATAATGTGACCTACTTTCTTGTGCTTTGATCTACAGCTATGAAATTTGAACCATGTGCACAGATTAAGATGTAAAGTGGACTTTGATATCAGCTTACCTAGATTTTGACAAAGTGTCTTACTGTGTTGTCCTTTGATGTAGTCATGAAATTTAGGCTGCGTGAAATATGACCTTCACCACCAAATTCACTAGACTCAAGTGCATTGATATATTCCTGCTCTGATCTTTTATTTGATTAACAATAGATTTAATCACTAATCTGATAATAAGAATTAGATAGGTCAGGGATCTATGCATTATGACAATCTTCAATTGTATAGAAACAAAAAAAAATCTGTTCCTACACTACTATTTAGTGTTGTATTAATGCGGTGGCATAGCATTTTTCTCAAATGCAATCTTGTTTAGGCCTGAAATAGTGAAAAAATATCCTATTTGGGCCCCAAACACATGTTTTCTTAGAGAAATGTTGCTAAAAAAAGTGAGCACTTTTTTCGGCGCCGCCCCCCCCCCCCCCCCTCCAAAAGATACATCAGGGGGTTGCCAAGGGGGATGTGCCCCCTTCTGTTTGGGGGGTTAGAAGGGGGGCGGAGTCCCCCTCATCGCCAAGAAAATTTTGGTCTTGTGAGAGGCTTAAAATGACCCCAGGTCGATCATTAGGTAACGTGTAACCAATGCTGAAAAGCCCTTGACTCTATCTCAATCCCTTGAGAAGTTGCAGCACTTTGAAATAAATTTTGATGGAAAAATCGAGGCAAAATAGTTATTTTTGGCAATTTTGATATGTCCCCTCATTGCCATGGTGACAGGAAATTTAAGACTGAGCATGTCGTTACAAAGGCAATGGTCCAGTCAACATTTGTGCCAAGTTTGATAAGTATTCACTATTGAAGCTTTTTTCATAGTTTCATAGCAGTTTGAACTTGTAAGAGGAGGCTCTTCAGTGAAAACGGCCATTTTTCACAATATGCTCATGGGGGAAAGGGTTAATCTATCTGGTGTTTTGTAATATTGGCATTGAAATCCTTTTAAGTTCCATAATCAAAGCAAGGCAGTTTTATTACCCAAAATTAATTTCAGGTTAAGGATCAGCATACATTGTGGCTTTTAACAGGTTTTGTATATAAATTAACACATTTCAAAAATGACTTCATAAATCAGTAATAAACATTTTCTGTTTGAAACTGTAACATCACAAGTCTGATTAGATATGTTAAGGTGACAGTTTTTGTTTATTTCAGGTAAGATATCATTTTTGGAGTTTAGTGAGCAAATGGAGAAAGAGAACCAGGTACCTGATGCAGCCACTGACACTGGGTTGGAGGATGTACAGGGAACTGAAGATGTGATGGACACAGGGGAGTTTTCTAAAGATGATCAGGATAAAGATAAAAGTAAATATGCATAAAACATTTATGTAGGAAAAATGTTGAATATTTTTTACTAAGTTTTATTGTAATATTTGCATTGTTAAGATGTGCAGTGCTTTGTTATAAGATAGGAATATTGACCAAAATGCCTTCTTGCATCAAACAAATGTATCAGTTTTATTTTCAAACCATTCATGTGTCCTGTTAACGTACAAGGAGGATTTCTTGGCAAGATAAATGTCAGACTTGCACAAATAATAAATCATTATAAAGGTATATAGAGGCAATTATGTGTTACATATATGAGATTTATTGTATTTTCCTCTTGCAGAACAAAAGCAACCTCAGAAGAGACGACCAGGAAAGGTAAAATTTTATATCTATTATAAGAATACAATGAAGATGTTTTAGAAAAAAAACTATGGTTAATTACTTTTCCCTTTAAGTTTCTGATTTCAGAATTTTCCTTGTCTAAAGCATTTTTAGCTCACCTGTCACAAAGTGACAGGGTGAGCTTTTGTGATCGCTTTTCGTCCCGCGTCCGTCTGGCGTCTGTCCGTCCGTCTGTCGTCCATAAACTTTTACTTTAAATGACATTTCCTCATAAACCACTAAGCCAATTTCATCCAAACTTCACATGAATGTTCCTTTGGTGGTCACCTTTGAAAATTATTCAAAGAATTTAATTCCGTTGCCATGGCAACCAATAGAAAAAACTTTAAATATCTTATTCTAAAAAATCCAAAGAGCTAGAGCTTAGATATTTGGCATGAAACATCTTTTAGTGAGTGTCTACCAAGTTTGTTCAAATAAAAGCCCTGGGGTCAAAATTGGCCCCGCCCCAGGGGGTCATTGATTTTCCCTATATGCATATAGTAAAACCATAAAAAATCTTCTTTAAAAGAACCCAAAGACCTATAGCTAAGATATTTAGCATGAAACATCCTCTAATGGGTGTCTACCAAGTTTGTTCAAATAAAAGTCCTGGGGTCAAAATTGGCCCCGCCCCAGGGGTCATTGATTTTCCCTATATGCATATAGTAAAAACTTAAAAAATCTTCTTTTTAAGCACCCAAAGAGCTAGAGCTAAGATATTTAGCATGAAACATGTTCTAATGGATGTCTACCAAGTTTGTTCAAATAAAAGCCCTGGGGTCAAAATTGGCCCCGCTCCGGGGGTCATTGATTTTCCTTATATGTGTATTGCAAAAACTTAAAAATCTTCTTGTAAAGAACCCAAATACCTAGAGCTAAGATATTTAGCATGAAACATCCTCTAATGGGTGTCTACCAAGTTTGTTCAAATAAAAGCCCTGGGGTCAAAATTGGCCCCGCCCCAGGGGGTCATTGATTTTCCCTATATGCATATAGTAAAAACTTAAAAAATCTTCTTTTAGAGAACCCAAAGACCTAGAGTTAAGATATTTAGCATGAAACATCCTCTAATGGGTGTTTACCAAGTTTGTTCAAATAAAAGCCCTTGGGTCAAAATTGGCCCAGCCCCAGGGGGTCATTGATTTTCCCTATATCCATATAGTAAAAACTTAAAAAATCTTATTTTAAAGAACCCAAAGAGCTAGAGCTAAGATATTTAGCATGAAACATGTTCTAATGGATGTCTACCAAGTTTGTTCAAATAAAAGCCCTGGGGTCAAAATTGGCCCTGCCCCGGGGGTCATTGATTTTTCTTAAATGTGTATAGCAAAAACTTAAAAAATCTTCTTTGAAAAAAAACAAATAGCTAGAGTTTAGATACTAAGCTTGAAACATCTTCTAGTGAGTGTCTACCAAGTTTGTTGTAATAAAAGCCCTGGGGTCAAAATTGGCCCCACTCCGGGGGTCATTCATTTTCCTTATATATGCAGAGATCTGCCAAGAATTTGAAAGAACTGGGCCCTGGGCCCACTTGGTCTGAAAATGATGGGCCATTTTTACCAAAGTATGGGCCTTGGGAACATAAATAAACATTGACCAAAATAACTGTTAAAAAGTAAAATTGTAGATAATTGAATTTCCCTGGTAATAAAACTTAAGTCATATTTTATGACAAGTCGTTCACTTATAATTCAGTACTTAACCAATAATTAAAAATATATGCCTACATGGTAACTTTCTAACTAATTGCAGGCAAAATATTTTTTAAATGGCTGCTCAAAAATTTGATATGCAAATTTTTTCACATAATTGCTGGTTCTTACTTTTAATGTCTTATATTGTGCATTATCCATTTAATTGTTCCTACTTTGCACCAAATGTCCCTTACCACTATATATTGACGAATTTTATTGCCCCTTGTATGCCTCTGTGTAGACAGCATACATCAAAGACATTTGCCGACAGACCTTTTGATCATGAAAAAAGTCATGCACAATGTTTTTCTGATTGGTTAATCACCCTGTCAAATATTCTGATGACGAAATATACATCTTTTTTTACACTTCATCAGCCAAAACTTGCGTGAACTTGAGTGACCTTAGGGTTGATCAAGTTGAACACCTGTCAGATTATACTGTAACTTGCAGCATTTCTTAAAATAGCAACACTTTTTTTTTTCAGTTACTGATAATCATTTTAAATTAATTTGTTTGTTTGTTTTTTTTGGATTAAATTTACGGTAGTAGAAATGAGTATCTGTGTGGGAAAGGGATTATGAGAGAAATGCTGTAAGTAGATAACATGGACAAAAGCATAGGGGAATGGATAAACTCAAGAATATGCGTAATTACAGGAGCATGGGTAACATGTTGCTGTTGGTACCAGTTTTGACTGGATGACTAAATAACCCAGCAGACAGTTTTGTTTTCTTATAAGTCTGGCACAGATTTTAGATGCGCCCATGGCCCTTTGCTGCCGATTTTCCTGCGCCATTCTCATTTTTTTTAGCGCCAATGGCGCAAAATCGCGTCCTCAGCAGATCGCTGTATGTGTATAACAAAAACTTAAAAAATCTTCTTTGAAAAAACTCAAATAGCTAGAGTTTAGATATTAAGCACGAAGCATCTTCTAGTGAGTGTCTACAAAGTTTGTTCAAATAAAAGCCCTGGGGTCAAAATTGGCCCCGCCCCGGTGACATTGATTTTCCTTATATGTGTATAACAAAAACTTAAAAATCTTCTATGAAAAAACCCGAATAGCTAGAGTTTAGATATTCAGCATGAAACATTTTCTAGTAAGTGTCTACAAAGATTGTTCAAATAAAAGCCCTTGGGTCAAAACTGGCCCTGCCCCAGGTGTGTCATTGTTTTTTAACTATATGTATAAAGAAAAAACTTGACCAGCTAGACCTTAGATGTTTAGCATGAAACATCTTCTAATGGGTGTCTGTCTACCAAGTATGTTCAAATAAAAGCCCTGGGGTTTAAACTGATATACAGGTGAGCGACTTCAGGGCCATCATGGCCCTCTTGTTATGATTATTTGAAAAAGAAATTCAATTTGTTTAAACTTAACATATTTTTAGAAAAAAAAATAAATAAAAAAAATCATGAGGTGGTAAAGTTTGTCTTCTTCAATCTCACCACTGTAAGTTTGAACCTAATCAGGGACTAAAGAGGCTTGTAATTTATCAGCTTTAAGAAAATTGAAGTAATGAAAGAAATTTTCTATGGGTTTAGGAAACACCAAACCGGCCCTTTTGGGAGAATAACCTGATATATGTCATAGGTTGGCATTTACTGTTAAAACGTCACATATCACCATCAGTATGTCATCATCATCAGCTTGTCATAATCAACAGCAACTTCTGATTATGTTAACCAGTATGTCATAATTATCACCATTTTGTCATCATCATTACAAACATGCAGCAAACGATAAGATGATATTTAACTTTTCTAGAAACGGAAAAAGAAATGGGATCTACCTAGTCATTTAGAGAATATGATGGGTGAAGTGAATATGATATTTGCTCAAGGAAAACATGAGGAAGCCATCAACCAGTGTCTAGAAATTATCAGACTTGGTAACTATTTTATACTGTTGCAGTCAAGTGTTGAGGGATTAAGTTGATAGAGAACTGATCTTGCTTCTGCACTTGTTATCTTGTTTGCTTTGAGATGTTTCTATAAAATTGTTTTGTTTGTATATTTCATTCTATTGTTCTAGTTCTGAAGAATGAAATAGAATGTATTGTAACAATAATAATAGAATTTAATTAAAGTAATAGGTCTTTAACATGAATGAAATTTTATTTAACTTGGGAAAGACCATATTGGTAAAATCTGTAATATCAAAATATGTTGTTATCAAGTTTTGTATGTATTTTTTCTTCAGCTCCAAATGCAAACAAGCCATTTCAGACATTAGGAATGATATACGAAGATATGGGAGATATGCAGAAAGCATTACAGGTGTGTTTGAAGTTTTCAGTGTCTATGTTAAAGTTACTAATAATGTGGAGGAAGTGGTCCATTTGGATTGAGGATTGTTAGTTATTAAAGGATTTTTAAAACCAAAGTAATGTGTGCAAGTCAGTCCACTTATTTCAGATGTGTTATTAAGGGGTCACTGGTTTGATCCTTGGGTTTGGGTAAATTTTTCTGTGCTGGTTGAGTCTAATGGTCATTTGTCGCTTATGTCAGTCTGATTCAGAAATCATGTTAGATTAGTAGTTGGTCACTTGCAGATAAATTAGTAATTACTGATTACAAGGGCCATACATTTGCTTGCACTGTGTCACTTCTGACCATGAACAAGTTTGATGAAATTTAACCTGAGGTATGTTTGTTATTGCTGGGTTATGTAATCTTGATATACATTGTACATAAATCATTTCTGCTAGGGATGTGACTGTTAAATGTTACAAATTAATCTTACAAAACAAGCTTTCAAAATATACCCTTGCAGGTAATTCTTCGTTGAAACTCTTTCGCTTAAGATTCTTATTATTAGAATTTAATATTTATATCTTTATATTTTCAGTATTCATTGATAGCAGCATATCTAGCTCCATACGATAGTGAGGAATGGGCAAAACTTGCAGAAATGTGTCTTGAACAGAATGATATTGGCCAGGCAACGAAGTGTTATACTCAGGGTAAGTAACTCTTGCATGGTATCCTATATTTTTTTCAGACAATTAATCACTATATAGCCTTAGTATAATGGAAATGTTGCTTAAGACTATCTTCTTTATTCAGTTATTAATAACATTATATACCATTCAAGCCATGGGTTAGAGAAAATGGTTGTAGGTGTAGATGATTTTTGACATGTAATTAATTATACCCCCGCACAACAAAGTTGTAAGGGGGGTATACTGGAATCAGCTGGTCCGTCCGGCTGTCCGTCCGTCTCCCCGTCCGTCCGTCGGTTTTTCCTTGTCCGCCCAATAACTTGAGATTCCTTTGGCCCACAGTCTTCATATTTGGCATGGAGGTTAGTCATGATAAGTAGATGACCCCTTTTGATTGTGGGGTCACTGGGTCAAAGGTCAAGGTCACGGGCCATGACTTTAAAAAGCTTGTCCGCCCAATAACTTGAGATTCCTTTGGCCCACAGTCTTCATATTTGACATTGAGGTTAGTCATGATTAGTAGATGACCCCTATTGATTTTGAGGTCACTGGGTCAAAGGTCAAGGTCACGGGACCTTGACTTAAAAAACCTTGTCCGCCCAATAACTTGAGATTCCTTTGACCCACAGTCTTCATATTTGGCATGGAGGGTAGTCCATGATTTAGTAAATGACCCCTATTGATTTTTGAGGTCACTGGGTCAAAGTTCAAGGTCACAGGGGCCTTGACTTAAAAAAAAACTTGTCTACCCAATAACTTGAGATTCCTTTGACCCACAGCCTTCATATTTGGCATGGAGGTTAGTCATGATTAGTAAATGACCCCTACTGATTTTTGAGGTCACTGGGTCAAAGGTCAAAGGTCACAGGGGCCTTGACTAAAAAAAAACTTGATTTTAAAATTTTCACAATTATAAGCATGGAGAATACATATCTTAGCCAATGCACTGGCTTAGTAAACCTCAAATTTGGCAGGGTGGTTGTCCTTCTAAAATGGCCACTTGTTGATTCTGACATAAGTGGTATGCGGGGGTAATTCACTGCCATATAAAGTCGGCAGTTTCAAGTTTGTGCTGTAAAATTTTATTTGCCACAGCTATTTGGAAATGAAAATTTTTATGGTAAGAATGTTTTCTGAAATTTCTGGTTTACTTAAACATTTTATACTAACTATCGATATATTTTCTGAACAGTTTGAAGTAAGAAAATTTATATTTATATATATATGTACTTAATTTAGCATGTAAGCAATTTCAATGCAAATGGAGAGAAAAAGATTGACTGTATCTGGGAGAGAGCCAGGTTGTAGAGAACATTGAAGGAACCAAGAAAGACTTTGATGGAATTTTCTGGATTTGTTGCTGCCTTTAAATTACCAAAAATCTGACTCCGAGAGGTACCTGAAACTAGCATGGGGCATCACAAGGGTACGTCTACTTTTTTATGTTTTCTTTATGGGACACTGTATGTCTTTTATGTTTAAGTCAACACATGTATGATCTTAGATTAACCAGAGATGTTTTAATGTACAGTATTTTTCTCTTTTTTTGTGCAATTGTACATTTTGCCTTGCTTGATCCAAATTATAGCATAAATTCATTTAACTGTTCAGAAATGATCTGCTGCAAGTCTATGTAAGTCAGGCTTGTATGATAAAGGATTTGATTGATTTCAGAGTTTTTATGAGCAAGGAGAGAAAAAGCGTGCAATAGATACAATGATGAAGGCATTTACAGACCATCCTGACCATATAACTTTTTTTCCCTGGAAAAAAAGGTTATGTTTTTCCCCTTGGGGTTTGACTCATGATGACCAGTAAGTTAGTGTTTAATGCCACAATCTTAACATGACCAGCAATGAAATGTTGAATAAAATAAGATGTTTCTTAATTTTTTTCATGAGAGACTTTTAAGCAACATTTAATTATGTGAATTTCCCAGGAGAGAGATACTTAGGGGGAATTTATTTCCTCTCGGGAAGTATCAATTTTCTTATGTTACTAAAAACCCAATAGAATTTATGAGGAAAACCAAACTGCAAGAAATTAATTGAAAAATTTAATGCCCTGATAGATATGATCATAGGGAAAAGCATGTGGGAAATAACGGGTTTTTTTTCAAATGGCACTGAAGAATTACATTAGACAATTAGTTGTGAAGCAATTATCATCTATCTTTATTAAACTGATACTGTTGCATTTAAGTAAGTCTTTAAAATCAAACCCCTTGGAGCTGACAAAAAATAAAACAAAGCCAGAACAACACAAATCAACACCTCAAATCCAAAATGCATGTAATTGGGGCAATATATTTGTTTAAATTTCAGATGTGAATTTATTGTTGGAGATTTTTGATACAAGAAAAGAAGTATCTGGAAAGTCCTAAAGTAGAAGTACTTTGCTTTCATTGTAATTTTTGCTAAAATTTTATTGAAACTTGCAATAATAATTAATGTACTGTTTGTTTGGAGAGAAAATATGAATTACAATGGAATGGTGTAAAATATGAAGTAAACTAAATTTAAACACTGAAAACAAATAGACAAAACCTATTTGAAATTGATATTGGGTTATAATGACAATTGGGATAAAAAATTTCATATGTAAGTCTAAAAAGAATAGTAAAAAACTACTTACTGTTTTATATACTAGTAATGTTTCTGTTGACACTTTATTATGACATTTACCAATGAACAGAAAGCAGGATTGTTTTTCATTACCAGATGTTAAAGACCTCCATACTTGGATAGCCCCCCTCCCCAGATTGTTTTACTTAAAAACAAGTTTAAAAAAATTTGATTCAGATATATTTATTTTGGTAGATTATTTGTAGAGCATTGCGGTGTATTTTTCACATTTCCAGGAGAGAAAAAATTGGGTCAAATACACACAACTTGCCTATAAAAGAGGTAAAGGAAAGTATACCAACAAGGTAAAGATTTTATATTATTTAGTTATGATATTATTGTAAAAGTTTACTTAACATGTAACCTTTTGATTGCTGTGAGCTATAGTAACCTTGAGATTTTAGTTGGATTTGCATTAGTGGTAGCATCTTTAATGTGTAAGGAATATATTTACTATTATCTGGTTTTGTTATTGCCCTTTCCTTTTATTATGCCTTTTGTAACTGGCTGTATAATTTTTCCTGCTCGAAATTTTATCATTTAATTGAGACGGATTCATGAGACTAGATATGTCAAAAGTTTTTAGTCAAGTCCCTTTAACTTTGACTTACCAATGTTCTACTATATGTTTAACAAATATTTTCAGATGTTCTGTACCAGATATGTTACCAATAGACCTTAGAATCAAGTTGGCTGTTTGTATGATACATTCAGAATACATCAAATTGTTGTGCAAAGGTAATTTCTTTATTGTGACTGAATTTGATTTAATCAAAACAAATGACATACTTTTCACCATTAATACAATGCCCTTTCTTTTGTAATATCTTCATTAATCTCATAGCTTTTGTGATAGGTCTCTAACTTGTTCATGTATACTGCTGATGGGATTGGCCCATGTTAGTGTAACAGACCTCAATATCAAGAGATTGAAATTAAGCATGTAACAGTTATAGTACTGACAATGATGAGGCCGTATTTGAAATGCATGATGCATCATGTCCTAGTTCTACACTTGTACTAGTGAAGATAATGCATTTTCTTACATGCCCTTAAAAGTGAAAGGTAAGACATAAATTGAGCCGCGTCACGACAAAACCAACATACTGCGTTTGCGACCAGCATGGATCCAAACCAGCATCCGCGCAGTCTGATCAGGATCCATGCTGTTCACTTACTAACCCTATTACAAGTAGAGAAACTGATAGCGAACAGCACGGATCCTGATCAGACTGCGCGGATGCTCAGGTTGGTCTGGATCCATGCTGGTCGCAAACCCATTATGTTGGTTTTGTCATGACTCGGCTCAATTATATTTATACAGGTGGTGATAGAACCATTGTTTGAGGAAGATATCGAGGTTATGGGAGATTTGTACCTGGATACAGCCGAGGCCTACATGGATAAAGGTTATTATAAACAAGCACAACCATTACTGGAAATGTTGGTTAAGTCACAAAACTACCATCTTGTAAGTTACCCTCTTAACTAATTCTTTCTATTTTGTAATTTTCATATATTTTTTTATACATTCAGAACTATAGACTTATTTCGTATAGTTGGCAGGTAAACTGACAAAACAATCTTGCCCATTAAAAATTGAATTTATTATTCTCAGTTTATTTGTTTCGATTAACAAAATCAAAAATTTGTTTTACTTCCATGGACAACGATATTAAGGTACTTTGTCTAATGCTTAACTGTAAAGAACAGTTTGACTGCATGGCTAAAAATTGCTTTCTCGGAAAATCTGACGCAATGAAGACAAAACAAATATGGTGGCATGCAAGAAATAGCTTAAGCCTGAACTTTAGTCAGATTGTAAGTGATGTGTCACATAGACATACATGAGACAAATGTAGGAAATTTCATAAAGCAAGCCAGTGGAAGAAAATGCTTGTAATAACCATATGATATTACAAATGCAGATAATGCTGAAAAATGACAATATGGTAAATTATGGTTGTGTAGTGGGTCATCACTTTATGATTGAATTTTCTGTTTGCTACTATACATAGATTAATTTATGATCAAACTTTTGTTCACCATTGTAGGCTGCTGTGTGGTTACGGTATGGTGAATGTTTGAACAATGTAGGAGATTTGCACGGGTCATGCGAGGCTTACACGAGGGTGGTAGAGTTAGCTCCCTCACATATCGGGGCTAGAATGTCCTTGTCAGCCATTCAACAACAGATGGGCAAACATGACGAGGCATTAGAACTTTTACAACATGGTATGTCTGTATTATATGTTGATAAATAGTTGGTGATTCACTTTATAAGCTTATGACATCAGATAAAAATGACAAATCTGCTGTGGATTTTTATTCTGGCCTACTATGTGCTTATTTGTGAAATATAAAAGGAGTTTATTTAACCAAATATTTGATTTTTTTGTCTCATTTAATGTATACAATATGTTGTCAATTTTTCCCAATTTTTCTTGAACATCGTAAGTCATCAAAAGTCATGTTCTGAAAGTGCTGAAAAAAAAACTCTTTGCTAAGTAAACTTTTCATCCAAATTTAATGGTAGGAAATCTTGTAAGTATTAGAAAGGTATCATTGTTTTCTGCAAAGTTTGAAAAAAATGGGTAGATTGCAATTGTTAAATGATATAATAATACTGTTGTTCAATTTGATTTTTAGATGATGGAGAACAGAGAAAAATGAGCAAAGAGGCATGTATATTATTTCTACTTTTATGATTTATACATCTGTGTCACAGTAATCAAGATAATAATAATTTGGAATATATTATATTTCTAAGTGTGAAGGGTTTACTTAGTTTTAGTGGTGGTTTTAAATTGTAATTTTTTTTTACATAAGGCTTAATTGAAAAGATAGTATTTAAGAAAATTAAATGTAACTGTATTTCAATGTATAAATACAGTATAATTATAAATATCTTAATTTTTATCAAAAGAGAATACCGGTACCAGGCTTTCTACTGGTCCCTACTTTTCCTACTTTTCCCACTTTTCCCTACTTTTTTCTTTTGATCCCTACTTTGCCCTACTTTTTTCTGAAATAGCCCTATTATCCCTACTTTTTCAATTTGAAATGAAATGAAAAAAGAAGATATTTAAAATGGTATTTCAGTTGTATTTTCAGTTGCAATTGATTAATAGTTCAGGTGTGTGTGTGTCTCCTTGTGATGTCCATCCTTGAAAGACTCATGGTCAGAGCTGCATTACTGGTACTGGTACTGCAGTATGTACTGCAGCGATTTTGCAAGTACTGGTACTGATACTGAATTACTCTTACAAAATTTTGCTACTACTGGTACTGGTACTGGTAGTGCATTAGCAGCATTACTGTCTTTAAAAAGTAGTACTGCTACTGCATTACAAGGCAGTATTTTTGGTTTTGATAAAAATGTCATTATTTTTACTCATATAGTAAAGCTGTAAATTCCATGTATTATTTTATTTTTGTGAAAAAGTAAGTTATCAAATCTATAAATAATTTGCTTCAATATTCCTTCAAATGTTAACATAGTAAGTATTCATCATAAAAAAGCACCAAAGACTTAAAGTAAAATTAAATTGAGATAAACAGAGTCAATAACTCTTTACTGGTAAAAAATCCTTATTGCAATCTTATTACAATGTATTTACTAGTAAAAAAAAAAGAGCAAAATAAACACTAATTAATTACTTCTATTCTAAATAATCCTATTTCAAGTGATATTGTTAGCACCATAAAAAGTTTTACATTGGTATAAATTGAACAGAGGTGTAAAGGTGTGAAAGGCAACAAAAAGACTGGTGGGTTTAAAATGTAAAATTATTGCATTGTATTACAGTTGAATGGTTACTCAACAATAACATATGACATGAATATATGTTGTAATTATTGTTTGTAAAAAGTATGTTCGTTCATTTAAGTTGTAAAAATGTAATGTCAACTTTAAAGTAAATGATTTTATTTCTTTGTTGAATAATGTTTGCAATTATTTTGTATGACACTGTGTATTTATTCAAACTTTGATGAATATATAAAAGTATTAGTACTGGTACGTAATTCCTTCCCTCAAAAAAGTACTGGTACTGCAGTACCAAGCTAAAATCTAGTACTGGTACTGGTAATGGTACTGCAAAACTTGGCAAGTACTGGTACTGAAGTACTACACCCTTAGTACTGATGCAGCTCTGCTCATGGTGCCTTGGCAAAACATTCAGCAACATTCTGGCTATGAGGTGCCTCACAGTCTTTCAAGCATGGACTGAGCTGAAGATACATACAGCCTGATTTGGTCTTGGTGATGGTATGTTTTGCTAATTCTTAAATAAAACGGTAAGAAATTCCTACTTTATCCCTACTTTTTAACATCAGAAATCCCTACTTTGCCCTACTTTTTGGTAAAAAAATGCCCTACTTTTTCCCTAGTTTTTTTGGTAGAGGCAGTAGAAAGCCTGCGGTACTTTTATTTTGAATGAATTATTTTACTATGGCAATGAGACAATGAGACAATGAGTTTATTAGTAATATAAGGCCTTCAGCCCAAAATACATTCAGAATTTTAATTTAACAAAGAGTGAGATACAAATATATATAATAGACATAGTTATGAGTATATTTACAAGTAATTAGTTTAATGGTAATTGAATATTTAAGTTGAAATAAAGGTAATATTAATTAATAAACATATGTACAAATGCCAATATGATTAATATCAGTGTTGAAGAGGTAACTATTAATTTATATATAATATTTAAACATAAAGGTAATTGGTTACATAGAGAAACGGTCGTTTCAACAATTTCCTGGCACATAAATAAATTAAAAACATCACAATATATATGTTTAAATGTGTTCAGTTATTTGAAGTTTTCTTAAACTATTTGCTTCATAGATAAATTTTGCCAGTTTTCTAATATTGTCTTTCGCTGTTTCTGACATTATAGTATTAAAGCGTTCATTACTGTTTACAATCACATTCCAATTACAAAAGTTTAAGTGTTTGTGTCTAAGGTTGTTGTACAGCTGACAGTCAATCAAAAAATGCACTTCATTTTCCACAACATACGCATTACGTTTAAGACAAAATGAACAAAATCTAAATTCTCTGTCAATATTTAAGTGCCTTCCTGTTTCAATTTTCAAGTCATGGCCACTGCATCTAAAATTTGCTAATGCGCGTTTATATTTATAAGGCATACTCAGTGACAAATAACATTCGTCAGAAATAGATGTTTTATAAATTCTGTAACTAATTGCTTTAGGAGATGAATTAATGTCCGACATTATCTCTTGTCTACAGCAGTCTAAGACTCGTGTCCTAAATACTTGCATGAATGTATCAACATTTCCGACTCCGTTCGCTGTCCATGCGTAACCAAGGCCTAATTGAAATAACATGCGTTTAACATGAGTTGCCCATGTGATTCGTCCTTGTTCATCTAAGTTTCTAAGCATAATATAGCATTGTCTTGGTAACCGATATTGTGGCATTTCCGTTAATTTTAGCCAGTACTTAACACATTTAGACATATATGTTACACTAATTGGAAGGCGTCCGCATTCACTAAGGGCGAAGAAACTTGCAACGTTTTGATTTAAACATGCTATCCTTTTGCAAAATGATATATGTACATTTTCGATCTGTCGGCATGTGTTATATCCCCAAATCTCTGATGAGTAAGTCAAAATGGGTTTTACCATAGCATCGAATAGTTTGAAAGCATCATTAACACTAAAATAACCAAAATGCTTCTGATAAGCATAAATAACATTAACAGCCTTGGTCGCCTATATGGCTAGTACATCTTTCATTTTAGTCCATGAGAGTTTCGGGGTAAAGTATGCTCCTAGGTATTTGTAACAATTGACAACTTCTATTTCATTTTCATTATACATCCAATGCTCATATTGTCTCAGTGGGCCGCCATTTCTGAAAACGATTATCTTAGATTTTTCAAGGTTTATACACATCCCAGTTTCAGCACAATAATTACTTATTTCATTTATTTGTCTTTGGAGATTTATAGCCGTGTCGGCAAAACTGGAGACATCATCAGCAAATAATAAACAATACAGCTCTCCTGTATGTTGTGAGATAGTGATTCCATTTTGACATTTATTATTTAAGTATTTCACAAGGTCATTTATGTATAGGTTAAAAATGATTGATGACGTCACACAACCTTGTTTTGTTCCTTTGGCGCACTCAAAGAAATCAGTCAGCCCGTTCATCGTAGGTCCTGATACTTTAACACATGACCGAAGTTGAGAATAAATATTCCGGAATAACGTTAGAAATCTGCCTTCAGGGGATATTCCCTTCCGTTCTAAGCTTTCCCATATTTTGAAATGTACACAATTGTCAAAGGCCTTAAGAAAGTCAACGTAAAACACATATAATCGTCCTCTTGATTTACTAATATATTTTTGTACTATAGATTGAAGATTAAAAATGTTATCAATAGTTGAATAATTACTCCTAAAACCAGCTTGGCATTCATCTATAATGTTATTCAATTCTGCCCACTTGGTCAAACGATTTGCGAGGATTTTCATAAAAATTTTACTCAAGCTATTTCCTACAGAAATTGCCCTGTAATTATTCGGATCGGATTTATTTCCTTTCTTGTGTACTGGGGTAACAATGCTTTCTGCCCAGGTAGGTGGGAAATGACCCGTATGTAGTATATTGTTGAATAATTTATTCAAGTATGGTATTGTTAAATATATAGTACTTTTGAACATTTCTATGCATATTCCATCCACTCCTGTTGCGCAATTATTTTTCAAGGAATTAACACTTATCATGATTTCGTCGTCTGTGACGTCACAATCAAGATCTGTGTCATCTATTCTATCATAAAGACTGTTGAATATATCTTGATTATTTAAAACTTGATTGTTTTCAGAAAATAGCTCGCTTAAGTAGGAAACCCATGTGTTTCCATCGATCGGGATGTGTTCTTTTCGTTTTACATTTCCCGTAACATTTTTAATACAACTCCAGAAAAAACTTGCATCATTTCGGTTGTTGATAAGTTCATCGCGCATCTTATTTTCATAGAATTGGCGCTTAATTTTACACATATTTTTAAAAGTTCGCTTATTTATCAAATATTCATCAAAGTCTGATTTATGTTGTGTTCGTCTAAATTTACGCAAACTGCTATATTTCAGTTGTTTCATCTTTGCACATTCCGAGTCCCACCAACGCGGTTGTTCATGATTTGCCTCCAGACTTCTGTTTTTACCTTTATATACTTTTAAAAGCATGTTTTTACCGGCGATTTTAAATAGGTCTATAAAAGTTGTACATGTGTTGTAGATATTTTCCTCTTGAATAATATCATTGTAAAAGGTTTCAAATAATGGTGCGAATTTTTGAATAAATGTATCTCTGAGCGACTCTTTCCATTTATACGTTTGATGTTCATAAAGGTTCGGAAATGAGTGAAATTCCGTTGAATTCTCGTTTATAGTATCAAGTAGAATTTCACAGGTAACCGGAAAATGATCTGATAAATCAAAGTCTTCAACACTAAAGTCTACTATACGATCAAATATGTCGGTCGACGCAATAAAATAGTCAACAACACTCAATCCTCCATTTGCTGTACATGTAAAGTTCCCGGTTGTATCTCTAAATAGACGTCCATTAAGAATATGAATCCCTAATGTACAACACATTTCAATAAGCGATATACCGTAACGGTTGCTTTTTTCATCGCGATTTTTTCTGTTCATATTAAATATGTCACTGGGATAATCTGTGCATGAGTTAAATACGTGATCAATGTCGTCATCTATTATGATATCTTCTAGGTTTCCGGTTCGAGCATTTAAGTCCCCAGCTACAATGAGGGACACATCACCAAGGTCTGAGATAATACATGTCAGTTTTTGAGAAAGGATATCTATACCGTTTTCCGACGTGTCTTGGTAAATAGGTGAATTCTCCGGTGCAACGTAGCAGAAAAATAACACAATACTCTTTTCTAATTTTGCAATATGCTTATCAATATAAAGGACAATACATTCTTTGAATTCCGGATATATACGTTTAACAATGGCATTATTACATAATTCATTCCTTATAAAGACTGATACTCCACCTGAGCCTCGATAACATTTTGATGTTCTTGAGCAATCATAATTTGTGAAGCCAGGTAATAAATTATCATAGTTATCATGCGTTGTTTGCTAAGTTTCACAAATGCAGACGACATCATATTTATTGCAAAATGTAATAAATTCGTTGTGTTTGTTGTATTTACGTAATCCTTGAATATTTAATGAACACAATTTTAAACTGTCATATTTACACGATTTTGGGCTTTGGCCGATTTCCTATTTTTTAACAGAAACGGGACACTTTTTGTGTTTGCAATATGTGTAAATTTCATTATCAACAATCAGTTTATCATACTTAAAATATGCTGATTTGCCAGAGTCCAGACATTCTTTAAAAAATGGATATAATTCGGATCTTGCTAATGATATTCTATGGGGAAGGTCTTCTGATATACGAAACGGCAAGTCAGTTGACTTTCTTTTTGAGCGAAAAGCTGTGAGAAAGGCTTTTCGGTCAGCATAGTGTGCGAATCTAGCAAAAACCATCCTACTTCCTGATTTACGATATAGGTCATCAAATTTTATATTTGAATCATCTACGCCTAGACTGTCTTTGATGAGTTCGCGGATATTTTCTTCAAGTATAGTTTGTGTCTCGTTTTCTACTTCTGGTACACCAAAAATCTTAAGATTATTTTTCTTGAGCTGCAATTCTAAACGCTCGTATTTAAGCTCAGTCGATGTTATAGTTTCCTGCAAGGTAGAAGTTCTTTTATTGAGTTCTGTTACCTCTGAAGTCAGTTTTGCATTACTCTGTTTAAGTATATCATTTTCTTTCTGTAATTCAGTTACACATTTTTCTAGAGAATCAAATTTCTTATCCATTTGTTTCACGTCACGACGTATTTCAAGTAATATATCGGTAGTGCTTTCTACTTCGACGTCCGCATCGCTGGTATCTGTATCAAGCGTCAGTCTTTCTAACGTATCCTTATCACGAAAGTTTCCGGTTCGTAGCCACGATCTCACAGATGTCTGTGAATGTGCCATTTCAGATCGCCTTGTTGTACGATTTTCTTGTATTGGATAGTGCTGGTTGGAATTCATTTCGTCGTTTAGTCCGGCGGACGAAACTGAAGGTGGTTCTACAGACTGTATGGCCTATGTATCTGAACATTAGACACATCTGCATTGACATGCTGTAATATGACCTTGACCACCAAATTCACTAGACACTACTGCATTATGGCAAAGTTCAAAATTATAGAATCAAAATATGATCTTCTTCTGTTCATACTATTTAGTGTTGTATTAATGTGGTGGCACAGTATTTTTTTTCAAAAATGCAATCTTGTTTATTATAAGTATCATATAACTAGTTTTTATTTACCCTTTTCTCCGGTTGATATATATCATAGACTCATAAGACTTGTTCTGATGATTATTAACTGTTCATTGTGAATACTACATAATAAATCACAGTGAACAAAACTTAACAAGTAAAAATGCCTCTTTGCATGAACTGATTTTCATGTTAACATTAAAAAATAGGAACAGCAGATGTTGTTACAGAAATGTCATCTTCTTCATGCCCAGGGAAAACTGGATGAATTCCTCGAGACAGCAAAACAATTATTGTTTCATGAGTGGAGGGAGATAGAGGCAGAAAACAGTTAGTCTTTATTTTTTGATGTACATATTGATTATCATTTCAATCATCTTTGCTTTATAGTAGTGTTCAATCATATGTTTATATTTAAGATATAATGCTGTCTGAAAAATAGAACAGTCGATATTCTTTCTGCTTTTGAAAATCTTTTTTTCCAGTGTACATCTAGTGCATACTTGATACTTCCAAAACAGATATAATATCTTCAATGCATCCTCAACAGACCACCCTTTTTCTCTGTAGAGCAAATTTGTCTTCTTAACAGTATCAATTTTTCAGACTTCACAGTAGATTTAACTTATTTAGAGCACACCTATTGGCAACAACCAAAATCTTCATCTTCCTAAACAGAGTTTGATTTGTAGATTTTGATCAGTATACATTATGATTTTTTTTATGAAACAGTTTTGTCTGCATTGTTTATTTATGGTTTTTATTAATGCACAGTATTTGTCTGATTGGATATTTACTAAAGAATCTGAAAAATAGACATAATGGATTTTTCTATTATTTTTACAGTGAGTTATTTACAAGCCATACGGACATACAAGCACAGAAAAGATAGCTTGAAAAGTCATTTCCAGTTTAAGGGAAAAGATACTAAACTTGGTAAGTCGATCAGAGTTTTTATGGTCTACCATCTTGTATAGAAAGTTAATGAAATTTATGGAATAAATAGATATGTGTGGATACTGAAATACCTCTGATTTTATATATGTTGATAGCTTAGTAATAGTTGATTACAATTAGATTGTTGTAAACCTGATATCATTGAAATTTTGTGTTTATAGTGATTATTTCTTTTATACAACAACAACAAGTATTTCATACACTTGTGACAATTTTGGATAATTAAAGTAGTACTATTTTTAAATGCCTTTGATAACATTTTGTTTTTATAAAAGCCACTTATCATGTGTCAATTATGCACACATCAATATACAAGGGTCATAAAGAAACATCACATGCCTGGGGCTATGTCCAGCCAGTGTCTTTGCTATTGTGTTAAAGTCTTATCTGTTTGTTAAGTGTTAATTACTACTGATCCAGTTAATGTCTCATTTAAGTACAATTACCACATTGTACATACAGTGTATAAATGTGTGATGCATAAATTTCTCCAATATATGTTGTCTGCTAGATTAGCAATAGTTACATGTTAGAATAAGTAATCATTCTTATAAATCTATACATATTTTATTCTTTTTATAGTAATGTTAAGAAAAGTCATGATTCTGTGTGTATTTTGCTATTACTATTCTTGTATTTTGTTAAAATATTATATAACAACCAGCCATATTTGATTTGATGAAACTTTAAAGGGTCAATGTTTAAACCAGAATTTAAAACACTTAATACTTACTTTACCATCATGAAACTTATATCATAAGAAAGAGAATTTTATGTAGATTATGATCCCATGCTTTATATTTTATTTTATTGTATGAGTTTAAAGATACAGCAAGTTATTCAAAATTCCTTTGTTTAGAATTAAAGGGGTGGAGCCTAATTGTTATGTAAACAAAGCCTTAGGTGTCAATCAGCTGTCAATCTAAAATAAGGCAAACTCCTTACTAGGGCTTATCAGCCAATCAAATTTGCTGTTTTATGTATTAATATGTAAAACTAATTTTGATTGGTCTGTGCAAATTAGCCAGTTACAATTCTTCTCAAGACTTTTATAAAAGGTGCTGCACAGGGCTTATTAGGGAAAAGGATTTTTAGCTGTTTGAATTGTGTTGGGTCCCTCGAGAACACTTGTGTCAAGGAGGAAGAACAACTTTTGAAATAATGACTGCCAATTTCATTGATACAGTGTGCTGAATGAAACAACTTTTTGTTGTGGAATTAACAGTTACTTGCTAAAAAATAAACTTGTATATAGTTTCAGGTTTGACGTCAGTGAAGAAGACGTCACTTGCTATCTCGTTTGCTGATTTGTGGGATGTCTTTTTACTGGTATGTTGAACTTGTAAACTTTTATTCTTTTTCATCTATTGCCTTCAGATTCAAATTCTTTTCCTCCCTCTTGATTAAATTTCTAAGTTTCTGTTAAGAATTTTTTTTAAGGAAAAACTTGTTTTTTTTTCCAGTTTTTAATTCAGTTTGCTATAAAAGAAAGATTTTGTTTTGAAAAAAAAATGTCACAGACAAATGAAAAAAATTTGCTGATAAATATCTTGAAGATTGTTTTGCCTTTTGTTCAGCTGAAATATTTCTACATTAAACTTGATGTTTGATAGGGATACACATAATTCTTTGTTTTTACTTTGAAAGGAATAATGTGACCTTATCTTAATGTGTGTGTCAGCTTTGTTTAAGCTGTATATGTGTATGACAGTAAAATGTTTATTGTTGTTACAGTTAGGTAAATCACTAAATGTTTATTGTTGTTACAGTTAGGTAAATCACTAAATGTTTATTGTTGTTACAGTTAGGTAAATCACTAAATGTTTATTGTTGTTACAGTTAGGTAAATCACTGAATGTTTATTGTTGTTACAGTTAGACAAATCACTGAATGATTAAATCTCTGAATGATTATTGTTGTTACAGTTAGGGAAATCACTGAATGTTTATTGTTGTTACAGTTAGGTAAATCACCAATGTTTATTGTTGTTACAGTTAGACAAATCACTGAATGATTAAATCTCTGAATGATTATTGTTGTTACAGTTAGGGAAATCACTGAATGTTTATTGTTGTTACAGTTAGGTAAATCACCAATGTTTATTGTTGTTACAGTTAGACAAATCGCTGAATGATTAAATCACTGAATGATTATTGTTGTTACAGTTAGGGAAATCACTGAATGTTTATTGTTGTTACAGTTAGGCAAATCACTACTAGAGAAAGGGAGATTTACAGAGTTTGAAGATGTTACATTACTCGGTATGCTGTGTCCGCTATTCAATCAAGATGAAAATTTGCTAGCTGTAAGTATACTTTTAGGTTGACTATTCAAAGAATGGTTGAGCTAGACTTCTTACTGACTTAAGGATTATAAAAAGTTTATCAATATCCAGTCTGTTTCTTGATGTAGTTTGTAGCATGGGACTCCATATTATTGACATACTTAACCCTTTACCTCATATATATGCGAAACAACACACTTTCGACCCCCCCCCTTTTTTTAGGCCTGAAATAGTGAAAAAATGTCCTATTTGGGCCCCAAACACATGTTTTTGTTTGTGAAATGTTGCTAAAAAAAGAGAGCACTTTTTCGGCGCTGCCCCCCATCCAAAAGATACATCAGGGTGTTGCCACAAGGGGGTTGTGCCCCCTTCTGTTTGGGGGCTTTGAAGGGGGCGGAGTCCCCCTCATCGCCAAGAAAATTTTGGACTTGTGAGAGGCTGAAAATGACTCCAGGTCGATCATAAGGCCATCCTTAAAAAAATGTTTGTTTGCAGTAACGCGACCGACTCAAAAAATTGCCCCTACTCAAAATTTTTTTTCATGGTCTGGATAAAAAAAAATTGTTTTGAATAAAAAAATTATGCCTTGTGCTTTGTTTTCGTTTTTTTAAAGGTTAATAGAAGAAATAAAATGTAGGTCTTCTTAAATTAGAATTCAGTTATCAATTTATTAATTGTTACCAGATTATCAAAGCATAATATATTGCCCAGCATTTTGAAATTCCATGTTTATTTGGGAGTACAGTTCAATAAAAAAAAAAAAATCGACCTACCTACCCACCTTGAAAATTCTGGGTCGGGTTACTGCAAACAAACATTTTTGTAAGGATGGCCTAAGGTAACGTGTAACCAACGCTGAAAAGCCTTTGACTCTATCTCAATCCCTTGAGAAGTTGCAGCAAATAATTGAAATAAATTTTGATAGTGATTTTTGGCAATTTTGAGATGTCCCCTTGTTGCCATGGTAACAGAAAATTTTAGACTGAGCATGTCCTTACAAAGGCAATGGTCCAGTCAACATTTGTGCCCATTTGATTAGAATTGAAGCATTTTTCATTGTTTCATAGCAGTTTGAACTTCTAACAGGAGGCTTTTCACTGAAAACGGTCATTTTTCACAATATGCTCATGTGGGAAAGGGTTAAGGTTTCCTATATATGTATGCATTGAATTTCATTGATGAATTTAATAATTAATATTTTGCATTGAATTTTTTTTGATGATTTTAATAGTTAATATTTTGTGTGAAGCAGATCAACTAATCATTACATTTTTTACTGAATAAAGTCAAAGATTTTTGGTGTACGGACATAATTCCCTTCGGACAAAATCCCCTTCATGTATTTTTGTATATCTGGACATAATCCCCTCCATGGGTGGACATAATCCCCTTCATGTGTGAAATTTTGAAGTGGACAAAATCCCCTTCATAAAATTGCTACCTAGGACAAAATCCCCCTCGGAGGAATTTTCGGTTTATAAAGTGGGTATGAGAGCGACATACTGCATTATGCTGTGTGATAAATATCTTAATGTATAAGTAAGTAGAAATTACATTATTTCAGCAGAAAAGCACATTTAATCACATTAAAATTGCTTTGTTAAATAAAGCATTCATAACAATCAATCAAGTAGTGCAGTGATCTTGGTTTGATTAAATTATCACGTTTTTATCATTGTAACAATGGATAGTATTTATCAATTAGAATTATCAACTTATGCAATCAATGAAACAATTATTGGCTAATAAAAATGTTTTTCATACTAATCAATTTAAAACAATTAAAGAAATTGCCTAATCAAATATGTGTTATGCAGTTGATAATTTACAATAACTTTAATGAAAACTTCTATATTAAATAAAGGTTAACTATTGCTACATAAAGATAAATAAAAAAACAAAAGTTCATTATTCATCAATTTTTAGGGAGTATAGTAATACATTATTCATCAATTTTTATACATTAGAAACCTATGAAAGAAGGGGATTTTGTCCGGGTAGTGAAGGGGATTTTGTCCACCCTTGCAAAAACATGAAGGGGATTATGTCCACCCATGAAGGGGATTTTGTCCGGGTAGGCGAAGGGGATTTTGTCCGAATGGGATTATGTCTGACATTTAAGATTTTTAACTTCAATGTATGCAATACCACACATGACAAAATACTGTGATACATTTCGCCTTAGATTATAGCACATGTGACATTTTATGCCCCCACAAAGTGGGGAGCATATAGCGTTGCACTTGTCTGTCCGGACGTACGTCTGTCCGTCCCTCCCGAAATCTTGTGAATGCAAGTCCTCTTAAACCAGATGGCAGATTTTGCTTAAACTTCCAGGGATGAACAACCTTAATGTGTAGATGGTAGTTAAGGAAGGAATTATTGCTGCGACCAAATTTAACAGAATTATGGCCCTTTGTTGATTTTTTCACTATATACTATGTAGAAATTTTGTGAACGCAACTCCTCTTAAACCGGATGGCAGATTTTGCTTAAACTTACAGGGATGAACAACCTTAAGGTGTAGATGGTAGTAAAGGAAGGAATTTTTGCTGCGACCAAATTTAACAGAATTATGGCCCTTTGTTGATTTTTTCACTTTATACAATGTAGAAATTTTGTGAACACAACTCCTCTTAAACCGGATGGCAGATTTTAATAAAAAGTTCCACATAAAAATCTTACATACAGATATGCATGCTCTTGTTTACGAGCACATCTGCACATTAAGGGCATCCGTGTCCTTTGGACACAATTCTAGTTTATTATCATTGAAGTGCCAACACAATTAGAAGTCCACCATTGTCATAAATGAACAAAATATTTACCCATTTCCAAGGATTTGATCTTTTTCATAGGAAACTTTATACAAGAAAAACAACACTGAATTATCTCATTCAGGTAGCTAAATAACTGTGAGATGACGCTACCCAGTTGTTTGTTGGGGGCCTTAATAGATAGAGAAGCATCTTTTGATCTTTCTCCATTAGTTTAAGTTCGACAGAAGACAGATGACATCAGTAGATATAAAAATATTAGTTTTGTATTAAATTGTTGGGCGATTCACAAATTGCTGGCTAAATATATAATATAGATTGAGAGATGGAAATGCATAGATATCATGAAAGAAAATTACTGTTTTAAGAACATGTTTTGTTTATTTGTAGGATTTTGAGTGGTTTATACTAAACGCTGCTATAATATCGGGAAACCAATTACGTTCCTATGCTTTTGGTAGACAAATAGTTCTAGATGTAAGTCACTTATATTACCCAGTATCTTTGTCTTTTCTGTAGTGTCCAAAGATATACGAGATTAAACCTGTTCGAAGTGATATTGAAATAATTTTCTTTTAAGTTGTTGATGAAGAATTGCATGATCTAAATTATTAACATGAGATTATCTTATTGGATTGCTAGGCATAACATTGCTGCTTAAAGACAGCCAAGAAAATAAACTAGTATGAAAAAAATACAAAGTGTATATGATACATCAATTTTAACAGGATTTTTTGCAATTGTACATGACAAAATGCATTAAAAAAAAAAAAAAGAATCAACCATGATATTAGTATTGTTAGTATTGTAGACATTAAATTTCATTAATTTATTATAGCAGTTTATGTTTTCTTGGGCTTCAGATTGTTTTTTTCTGCCAATCTAAAACAGATTATTTTCATTATTTATTGTTGATATAGAATTTGGAGTCGCCACAAGCGTGGAACATGTTTATGCAGGTGATAATGGTGTGTAATGATCAGAGACATAACAGGTTCTGTCTACGAAAAAGTATGACTGTAAGTTTAAACATGCAAGTTTTGCTATTAACATGAGCCACGTCATGACAAAACCAACATAGTGCGTTTGCGACCAGCATGGATCCAGACCAGCCTGCACATCCGCGCAGTCTGATCAGGATCCATACTGTTCGCTTACCAACTCTGTTACAAGTGGAGAAACTGACAGCAAACAGCATGGTCAAAAACCCATTATGTTGGTTTTGTCGTGACAAGGCTCACATATACATTTCAACTTTAAGAATGTAGATTGTGACTTTTTGTCTATAATTCTGCACACACACTATTCTCCTATTTAACAGAGCATTAATTTATTACAAAATGTATGCAAGGCATAAAAAGGAATAAACCAAATGATGTCAAGAAAACCAAAGTCCATAAACAGCGAGACATGCATAGTAATTTGGTGTCAAATGGTCATCTATGTTTGATATGTATAGTGAGCTTTGATGATATCTTTATGTTTCAGGAGCCAAACAACATAATTTTGGGCATCATGAATGGGCACAATTCAATGGCTTCTGGAACATACAAACATTCACTTGGTGAGTCTTGAAATATGGAAAAAAAACTTAAAAGAAAATCATAAAAGAAATTCATTATTGTAGAATATCTTGTCGGATTTTGCCTATGATCTTACCAATCATAACATTAAACATGTAATTCACATAGAGACATATGAATTGGACCCCAAAATGAACTTCAAACTACTTCATTGCAAACTTTATTTCTTAAACAGATTTAGATCATATTTGACAATTATGACTTACAAAACATCTTACTTAAATTTTTTGTTTTGGAAATATTATGTATTGGTTTTCTTGCCACAATATGGAAAAGCTGTAAGTTATTTTGTTTGTATAATTGTGTTGTTTTTGCAGGTGAATATGCCAATGTGTTTAGAAGAACTCCTACAGATCCAATGCTTAGTCTCTGTATTGGATTAGATTTCATACATTGTGCATCACAGAGATTTGCCGCTAAACGACAATATCTTATTACACAGGTAAAGTTACATGCTTGTTGAAGTATCTTATTACACAGGTAAAGTTACATGCTTGTTGAAGTATCTTATTACACAGGTAAATGTTACATGCTTGTTGAAGTATCTTATTACACAGGTAAATGTTACATGCTTGTTGAAGTATCTTATTACACAGGTAAAGTTACATGCTTGTTGAAGTATCTTATTACACAGGTAAAGTTACATGCTTGTTGAAGTATCTTATTACACAGGTAAATGTTACATGCTTGTTGAAGTATCTTATTACACAGGTAAAGTTACATGCTTGTTGAAGTATCTTATTACACAGGTAAAGTTACATGCTTGTTGAAGTATCTTATTACACAGGTAAAGTTACATGCTTGTTGAAGTATCTTATTACACAGGTAAAGTTACATGCTTGTTGAAGTATCTTATTACACAGGTAAAGTTACATGCTTGTTGAAGTATCTTATTATATAGGTAAATGTTACATGCTTGTTGAAGTATCTTATTACACAGGTAAAGTTACATGCTCGTTGAAGTATCTTATTATACAGGTAAATGTTACATGCTTGTTGAAGTATTTTATTACACAGGTAAAGTTACATGATTGTGGAAGTATCTTATTACACAGGTAAAGTTACCTGCTCGTTGAAGTATCTTATTATACAGGTAAATGTTACATGCTTGTTGAAGTATCTTATTACACAGGTAAAGTTACATGATTGTGGAAGTATCTTATTACACAGGTAAAGTTACATGCTCGTTGAAGTATCTTATTATACAGGTAAAGTTACATGGTTGTTGAAGTATCTTATTACACAGGTAAAGTTACATGATTGTGGAAGTATCTTATTACACAGGTAAAGTTACATGCTCATGGAAGTATTTTATTAGACAGGTAAAGTTACATGATTGTGGAAGTATCTTATTACACAGGTAAAGTTACATGATTGTGGAAGTATCTTATTACACAGGTAAAGTTACATGCTCGTTGAAGTATCTTATTATACAGGTAAAGTTACATGGTTGTTGAAGTATCTTATTACACGGGTAAAGTTACATGATTGTGGAAGTATTTTATTACACAGGTAAAGTTACATGCTCGTTGAAGTATCTTATTATACAGGTAAAGTTACATGGTTGTTGAAGTATCTTATTAGACAGGTAAAGTTACATGATGGTGGAAGTATCTTATTACACAGGTAAAGTAACATGCTCGTGGAAGTGTCTTATTACACAGGTAAAGTTACATGATTGTGGAAGTATCTTATTACACAGGTAAAGTTACATGCTCTTTGAAGTATCTTATTATACAGGTAAAGTTACATGGTTGTTGAAGTATCTTATTAGACAGGTAAAGTTACATGATTGTGGAAGTATCTTATTACACAGGTAAAGTTACATGCTCGTTGAAGTATCTTATTACACAGGTAAAGTTACATGATTGTTGAAGTATCTTATTACACAGGTAAAGTTACATGCTCGTTGAAGTATCTTATTATACAGGTAAAGTTACATGGTTGTTGAAGTATCTTATTAGACAGGTAAAGTTACATGCTCATGGAAGTATCTTATTACACAGGTAAAGTTACATGCTCGTTGAAGTATCTTATTAGACAGGTAAAGTTACATGATTGTTGAAGTATCTTATTACACAGGTAAAGTTACATGCTCGTTGAAGTATCTTATTATACAGATAAAGTTACATGGTTGTTGAAGTATCTTATTAGACAGGTAAAGTTACATGCTCATTGAAGTATTTTATTAGACAGGTAAAGTTACATGCTCATGGAAGTATTTTATTAGACAGGTAAAGTTACATGATTGTGGAAGTATTTTATTACACAGGTAAAGTTACATGCTCATGGAAGTATCTTATTAGACAGGTAAAGTTACATGATTGTGGAAGTATCTTATTACACAGGTAAAGTTACATGATTGTGGAAGTATCTTATTACACAGGTAAAAATACATGCTCATGGAAGTATTTTATTAGACAGGTAAAGTTACATGATTGTGGAAGTATCTTATTACACAGGTAAAGTTACATGCTCATGGAAGTATCTTATTACACAGGTAAATTTACATGCTCATGGAAGTATCTTATTAGACAGGTAAAGTTACATGATTGTGGAAGTATCTTATTACACAGGTAAAGTTACATGATTGTGGAAGTATCTTATTACACAGGTAAAGTTACATGCTCATGGAAGTATTTTATTAGACAGGTAAAGTTACATGATTGTGGAAGTATCTTATTACACAGGTAAAGTTACATGCTCATGGAAGTATCTTATTACACAGGTAAAGTTACATGCTCATGGAAGTATCTTATTACACAGGTAAAGTTACATGGTTGTGGAAGTATCTTATTACACAGGTAAAGTTACATGCTCATGGAAGTATTTTATTACACAGGTAAAGTTACATGCTCATGGAAGTATCTTATTACACAGGTAAAGTTACATGATTGTGGAAGTATCTTATTACACAGGTAAAGTTACATGCTCATGGAAGTATTTTATTACACAGGTAAAGTTACATGCTCATGGAAGTATCTTATTACACAGGTAAAGTTACATGATTGTGGAAGTATCTTATTACACAGGTAAAGTTACATGCTCATGGAAGTATTTTATTTCACAGGTAAAGTTACATGCTCATGGAAGTATTTTATTTCACAGATAAAGTTACATGCTCATGGAAGTGTTAATGCATTTGGTTCCATAGTTGAAGTATCAGTATGATGTCAGCTTGATAAATTTGCATAGAAAAAAGATGTCTTGTATGTATACGAGTTATTCATGAAGATTTTACAAAGCATATGAAATCACAGTAGTAGTTTTTTGGTGTATAAATGAACTGGTATACTATGAAACAGACTATGTTCTACATTTGAAACAGACAATACTTTTGGCTGCTCACAGTTGAATTTGATGTTTACACCGTCTGATATCACATGGAACAGTTTAAGATTTAAAACAGAGCAAGTTTACAATACAAATTAAGCATTGAAAGAAATAAATTTTTTTTTATCAACATTAAATTTTTTGTAGTTGAATGTTCCTTTTAGTGTGTCTAGTTTGCAAGTTGTTATGTTTAATGTTTTTCAGGGTTTGGCATTTTTGAACAATTATATCGAGCTGCGTGGAGAATGCCAAGAAACTTACTACAATATGGCAAGAGCCCTGCATCAAATAAGTAAGCATTGTTCTGTTTTCATAGAATTTTGATGGGGAAAAAAATGGTAAAGTTTGTGTAGTAAAACAGTGCACTCTTTTAGATGAGAAATGACAACTGGCAGAGCTATGCCACAATGATAATATTATAATAATGTTATAACTTCATTTGCCTCTACACCAATGTTATTCTTAACAAACTCTTAGCTGCTATTTGCTTAGTTTAATACTTTAAACTTTGACATAGTTGAGATTTTAATGGGAAATTTCAAAATGAAACCAAGAGAAGCTCATTGTGAATTCACTAGGAACAGGTTAAAAAGAGGAGATTTGTATTGTACTAATATTGAAGCACATATTTACCACAGTTTTCTGGTTTTGTTGCTTTGAATAAATGTTAAAGAACCCTGGCTAGGATTTTTGTCATCTCATAATTTTAAATGCAACATACTCTCTGTTACAATGTTAAATTTCCTCTTGTGTATAAAATAATTTTGTAATGATTTCAGACATCTTGTATGCCGCAGTTCATTACTACAAGAAAGCCTTGGAATATCCACCATGTGTTGGAGATAGAGGGGTAAGATAAAAGTGTCAAAAATTGTTATTAATTTTTATTAGCTCACCTGAGCATGCTGAGCTGGGCATTTTTGCCTCAATCTTCATCAAACTTGGTCAGGATGCTTATCTAGTTGATAGCTCGGATGAGTTCGAACATGGGTCATCTCGGATGAAAAACTAGGTCACAAGAGCTAAAAATAGAAAAACCTTGTTAACACTCTAGAGGTCACATTTTTGCCTCAATCATCATCAAACTTGGTCAGGATGTTTGTCTAGGTGATAGCTTGGATGAGTTCGAACATGGGTCATCTTTGATGAAAAAGTAGGTCACCGGAGCTAAATATAGAAAAACCTTGTTAACACTCTAGCGGTCACATTTTTGCATCAATCATCATTAAACTTTGTCAGGAAGCTTGTCTAAGTGATAGCTCAAATGAGTTCGAACATGGGTCATCTTGGATGAAAAAGTAGGTCACTGGAGCTAAAAGTAGAAAAACCTTGTTAACACTCTAGAGGTCACATTTTTGCCTCAATCATCATCAAACTAAGTCAGGATGCTTATCTAGTTGATAGCTCGGATGAGTTCGAACATGGGTCATCTCGGATGAAAAACTAGGTCACAAGAGCTAAAAATAGAAAAACCTTGTTAACACTCTAGAGGTCACATTTTTGCCTCAATCATCATCAAACTTGGTCAGGATGTTTGTCTAGGTGATAGCTCAGATGAGTTCGAACATGGGTCATCTTGGATGAAAAAGTAGGTCACTGGAGCTAAAAGTAGAAAAACCTTGTTAACACTCTAGAGGTCACATTTTTGCCTCAATCATCATCAAACTAAGTCAGGATGCTTATCTAGGTGATAGCTTGGATGAGTTCGAACATAGGTAATCCTGGATGAAAAACTAGGTCACCTGAGCTAAAAATAGAAAAACCTTGTTAACACTCTAGAGGTCACAATTTTGCCTCAATCGTCATCAAACTTGGTCAGGATGTTTTTCTATGTGATAGCATGGATGAGTTCGAACATTGGTCATCTCGGATGAAAAACTACTTCACAGGAGCTAAAAATAGAAAAATCTTGTGAACACTCTAGTTGCTACTGTTTTGATCCAAATATCCTGTAAATTGGTCTGAAAGTTTGTTTTGATGATTTCTAGGTCAAGTTTGAATATGGGTCACCTGGGTAAAAAACTAGGTCACACTGCTCAAATATGGATAATCCTATTAACACTGTGGTGGTCACATTTTTGACTCACCTGTCATGAGACTTGGTCAGAATGCTTGTCTAGGTAATTGTTTGGATGAGTTTGATGGGTCAAGTGAGCGATCTAGGGCCATCATGGCCCTCTTGTCTTTATTAGAGTATGCTTGATGAAAATACTTTATGGGGACATGATCACCATGCTTACCAGATCTTAAGCACTCATTACTCTTGACTGAGGATCATTATTAACAAATCTTTTCCACCTGTAGAACATGAGGCCATCTTTCATATCTGTTCCCATTGTGGGTGAGGGGTTACCTTTAAGTGTTGAGGCACCAGAATTGCAGCCACCATTTAGCTGTGCGTGATCGAAAGAGGCGACTAAATTGGTTCAAATTACTTCAGTACCTTTTGGTTCCAGGAGGTGAGGTGGTTTTCACCCCTGGTTATGCTTAAAGTGTGTAACACCTGAGCTTAGACAAAATCATCTTTACTGTTTAGGAGCCATATGACCAAAATTATGTTGGTATGTCGTAAAACCAAACAAAACAAGAACAAATACATATATATATAGCATTTTGAAAAAAATATGTTTTGTTGTTGGTGCTCAAATGAATTTCAAACTGAATTATAAAGAAGGGAGTAAACCGTAAGAAATGTTTAGAAATAACATGAAATAAAACTATGTTTTTATTATATGCCATGAAATTAAATACCTAAATTGTCATTGATTATGCAAATTGAAGAATTAATATTTTTGAATGGATTTGAACTAAATCTATAGAAAAAAGTTATATCTGATATAATTATTATAAATTCATAGTGTTAGCAAGGAAAACACATCTCGTATTAAGTATTGTTAGTCAGTATTGCCAAACTTTTACACATTAAGACCCTTTTGCCCATTTATTTTGTGTTATAGATGTTTTTGTAATGTTATGATAATGATGTATGTTTCAGGGAATGTTTGACTTGACGATGGAGATAGCCTACAACATGGCCTTGATCTACCAGAACAGTGGAGCCATTGATTATGCCAAATACTTACTCTACAAGTACTGTGTCATCTGAAGAGTTTGAAGAATAAAACCAACAACAAAAAACAATATATGAAATTTATCTAATAAATTTGATAACCCTTACTGCGAGGAGAGTTAGGTTAAAAGCTATTGTTCTGCAACAGAGATTGACTTTAGAGGAACTGTATCTACTAGATCAGGATTTTGAAAATTCTGTTTTGGAGAGTTCTGTCGACAGACTTGAATGGAATAGTAGGAGATCAAAGGAAAAATTCTTAAGGACCCAGGTGATTCTTTTATAAGAGGAGCAGAGAAGGACAGTAAGAGTTAATGACAGTGTGGCCGGAATAATGGGAGAGTATCCTAACATTTCTTGTCGAGAATTAAGAACAGAATAATTTAGTTAAGTGACAGGAGGAGTAAAAAGTTTGGTTGGTGTTGTAATAGTATTATTAAGTGTATACAGTCATATTGATTGAAAAACAGGTAAAGTGTTTGTAGAAAAGTGTAATCAAAGAACACAAAAGAACAAAGTATCAACAGACAGGTTTGTCTTTGAAAAGTTCTGAGTTAAGTTTTTGTTAACTGTTCACTGGTTTCTAAGTTTTTATCCTGATACACAGTTGTTGAAAAGTGATTTTCATGTTATTAAATGATAATGTCACTTTATAATTTGTATAGGGGATGAAAGCCTAGGAATTGATGATTTATTTTCTAAACCTGGCTTTTTACCAATAGCTGTTATTAAATTTTTGTGTGCTTTTCCTATTTGGAATGAAGTTTGAAACAGATGACTTATCTAAGTAAATGAAAAGATTAAAATTGATCACTATTTGCTCTCCTAATTACTGGTAATGGTAAAAAGCCAAGTTTGATAGATTATTAAAAAAATGATTATTGATGTTGATAGATGCCTCAATGTTAATGTCTAAAAAAATGATGAAGAAAGATTAAGTTCTGTACTTACATTCTTTCTATTTTAGAATGAACATTTTAAATGATATTAAAGACTATGGAAGGCATCTATGAACATAAATTAGATTAAAAAAAACAAGAAAAAAAAACAAGAAAAAAAAAAAAAGGAAAAAAAAATTAAGTAAAAAAAACACAAAACAATTGAAAATAATGAAACTGAAGCATAATTTTGGGTTGATATTTTGCAAGGATATACATGTATATACAGACTAAATTTTTTTAATGTAATGTATGAAAGTGATAAAATATTTCTGGATACAGTATACACAAAAGTCTTTCTTGATACATTATACAAAATATCTTGTTAAGGGTTGCTTTTGTTTATTTGAAACATGTTTTGTCTGAATGTAAGTCTGTATAAATATCAACCATATTCCTTTTTCTATTGAAGTTTTAAGTTTTTCTGTTTTAGTTTTTCCTATCATAGATCATATATCATTTTTTGCAAACCATTTTCTGCATGTCATAGTTTCAAAGAAATAGTGCATGTAATTCTTTGAAACAACATAGAATTTTTTTTAACACATTTGATATATTGCATTATTTTGCTATAACAATTACTACCTATGCCTAATAATGAATTTTAGAGATACAGTATACAGTGCTTTTTTAGTTTCATGGGAATGAATGGTGGCTGGTTCCATGGAATGCAAACATTGCATAGTAGAGTGGAAAATTTAGAAATAGAGAAAACAATCCATTGTGATACAAAACCATCGTCATTTCAAACTACAAATCTTTTCTCTTTTGGTAAAGAATTAATTTTTTTTAAGGAAAATAAGTTGATAGAAAAAAATGCTGGAGGATAATTTTTTTTATCAGAAAATTGGGGGGGGGGGGGGGGTTAATAAATTAAAACTTTTTTGAGGAGAGGAATGGGCCCCAAAACAGTCCTGAAAAAGCACTGATATATACATTTTATTATATTGATGTTTACTAGTAAGGTACCCATATTTTTTTTGTAAGGGTTATTTATAATATTGTATTTATTATATTTTCGTTATATTTATCAGAATTTTGTAAAACAGCTGGCTCTAATATCTATACAATTATGTAAAGTAAACTTGATAGATTATGCATGCTTTAATAGTAAAGAAAATAAGGTTAAATTTTAGCTATGGAAAATTGATGGAATTGAGTGAACAAAATCTAGAAATGGTTACTGGTTATTAAAGTTTAATACAAAGGTATTAGATAATGAGTACATTGTGTTAAATTAGGGATATTTTACTGATCCTGCACTGATCAGTGACAGAAAGTCAGATTCACAAATAGCAACATGTTCTGTTCTGCTAGATATGTTTTCGCCACCCTCTGTACAGATTTCAATCTTGGTAAAGAAAATCTATCCACACTGATATTCCAATATGTATGGTTAGTTTAGTACAAAACAATATTGCAATTCTATTCTGAGAAAAATTCTTGCAAGGGAAAGTACACATTCTCAAGTTGCAGTTTGTATGTGAACTAAATGTCTGCAGTTATGTTTGAACTAAGTTTTTATATACATGTATATGTTTAAACTAAGGGTGATGAATTGCACCATGTAAATTTAAAGACATGACATTTGTGATGTTCCAACTGGCAGCAATTCAATCTGTGCTGAACACTATAGCTAGAGCCTGTTTTTCAGTTCTTGAATACTCTGATACTTTTTCATAGATTGCTTTAAACTTTCGTTTGTATTTACAGGAATTGACATAATAATAACATCAACTTTTTGTATCCCAAATGCAAAAGGCACTAGTTGGTTAACAGTAGGTACACAATTTTCATGTTATACAAGAATATAATTGCTTTAGTGTTGATATGGCCATCAAGTTGTTTGGGGTATAGGGTCTGGACAATCTTAGCTTGTAAAACACAGTAAATGAAACAACAAATGTCTGAGTCATAATTGGACTTTTATGAAAGTCAAAACAATTATTATGTACATTTGGCATTTGATATGTTACATGAATAAAATGTCACAAGTTAGGAACAAGGTGTATAGGACTATACTGAGAGGGAACCTATTGTTAGAATTAATTCTTTTATCCATAAACAACAAAGGAATGGCTGTTATTGAAATTTAATCTTCTTGACTATTGTTTGACATTTAAGACCGATTTGCATGTAACTTTCTTTTATTTGCCACCAATATGGATTTTTTTTGCATGGTGTTTTTAATTGACCAGTAGATATATTGGAAATATTAACCTTGTATGCACAGGCCTTGTCTGTTGAATGGCCAGCCTTGATTTGGTAAAAATTACTTGTGGTATTTGTTCTTTGTCATGATATGATAATGGGTTAACTGGTTTGTTTTTAGAGGTGTCTTTGAACACTCCTTTTTGTTGCAGGGTGCCCATTTGGTACATTTGATCAATCATGCATAATAGCAATAGGTCTCAAAGCAAATTCATTTGGTTGGTCTACTCATCCTTATATCTTAAATGTATCCTTTCGGCAAAATTTCATTTGAACTGATAATTTATCTGTTACAATTCATTGCATGGGTGTTTTGAAAATCACTTAACTATATATGTTTGACAGATCACTGGAGAAACAATCTGCATTTGTTACTCTTGGAAATGTATCTGCAAATTTTGCACACACCATTCTAATGCAATAAATTATAGAGTTTCGTCTTAAAACAAAAATAACAATTTGTCAGTCAGTCAATCAAACAACAGAAAACATGTATTATCAATATACACATATTAAAAAAGGCCTGGACAAACAGATTTTCACTTTTACAGGAATGTTTGCTTTAAAATATCAAAACAAATTATTTTTGATGACTGAGTAAATATTGTAATAAATATTTGAATAAGTGCATAAAAATATATTTATATGAATGAAACCAAAAATACTTTCACAATAATATCCAAAGTTGGTAAAATTGAAATATGGAAAAAACTTGGCTGGTCTCTCTTGTTACAGAACATACATTACTATAATTCTGAAGGATGTGGCAGTGAAACATTAACAAGTTTGATCAACTTTCTGTAATTGTCAAAAAAGTAGTTGTCTTTCAACTGGCAGTCAATATGTTATTTGTCGCACCTTGTCGAACCTTTCTACTCTTCCTCAGTGTCCCTGTCTGTATGTACAACTGCACTCCTTCATGGTCCTGAATACATGTGACATGTCTCTTCTGATGTTTCCACTCCTCTTTCATACAGCGGCTATTGAGCAGAAGAACTCCAAGTGTATCCTTGCCCTTGTCTCCATCGAAAGCAGCAGTGTGGTCTTCTATCAATTGTGTTGTCTCATCCACGCCTCGTGTTGTTCTTCGGCAGTGAAGAGCAAGCTCATTGTTAGTGATAGACGGCATCACTAGACCTTCCCACGGATCACTGATGTGTTTTGCTATCAGCTCTGATCTCTTGGCTGTTTTTAGAGCTTGTAGATCATCTTTGTCCCAGGCAAAGATACAGCTGCTTAACCTCCGCATGATCAATCCATACAGAGAATGGGAATCTGTATTGCACCTTGAGGAGAGTCTCCACATAAAATGCCATACATCCAGACGCACATCAACCTCTGTCTGCCAGGCATTAAACAGGGTTAATATGCTTGCCGTACCACAACAGTCACAGTCACCCTAGATAACCTCTGATGGTGGGTGTCCTTCATCACTGAACCTCTTCATCAGACCCTGAAATGAATACCCATTAATTTTTATGTTGCTGTATCTGTTGTTTTTTTAAATATCTTTTACTGTAATTGGCATGTTATTTGGCATGACTTGCCAATCGTTATAGTCTTCTGACTAAATACTTACAAATCTCTAAAAAATATATCTTAGTTTGAAACATCTAGGACCGAGAGCTAGAGACCTTTTATGTTATGAGGACTTTATGTCATATGCTTCAAAAATAATCGGTGCATAACTGTAATATCATACGTTTGCCATCCTCATGAGCCCAAATCGACCTTCACCAGCAGTCAAAACTGACATCAGTACTTGGCCGTTCCCATAACGAACATTCGTCGCCCATTCCTGATAATTTTTTAGTGATCTTTTTTGTTGAATCTACTTTGAGAATATGACCAAACACTGATGTTATTTTCGCCTTCACCTCTTGAAGTCTCTGCATGACATCCTGAATGTAGACCTACATCAGCCATCTGTATTGAGGTACACTTGCCATGACTGCTGTGCAATAAAATGTGGTGCCTGAACTAGCCCTGATGATGCAGCTCCTGCTACAATCTTGCATGCTGACAGGTACTTTATGGTCTTTTTGTACCTATCTGTGCTGTGTTGTTCTTAAAGCTTTTTGTCGATCTGGGATGCACTATTTCCTAAACCACATTGTCTCATAAGAATAGCAACCTTCTTGTCACAGGCTTTCATTGTAGTAAGGAGACATGGGAATTGGCTGCGATGCCCAATGTCTACCTATGACAAGATATTGTGGCTCCAGTTTGCATCTTCTGCAGAGGAGAGTCTCAGACACCAGGTTGTAAAAGTTTGATACATCTAGCACATTTAAAATAAATAAATACACAATTCATTAGCTAAAGGTCAACTGTAACAAAGATAATCATAAGCGATATGAAACTTCGATAGATGAAGCAAGATTCTTCTTGTAAAAGTAGAACACAGTAGGTTTTCAGAGAACAGAAAGAAGGGATATGGAAATGACGTCACTTGGGACTGGTTCCCTGCAGTGCTGCGGGTGGACTGGTATCTGGACAAAAACCCACAAATACTACACTCCTCCCAACTTAATGAAAAGGTTTCGTTAAGAATTTAAACTATGGGAAATCCCTGGTTGTTATCATGGGTGTTATCCAGGTTTTGATATTTGTAGGGATCTTAGAAGTAACATGAAAACCTCGGAACACTATTATTAATTTTAAGGTTTGGAAAAATATTTTGAAAAAATAAGACTAAACCCAACTGGAGTATTGTAAAAAATCTACTCGGGACACACTTTTGACCTTTAAATGAAATATAACCCCAACTAAATTACTTATAATTCTACTCGGGGAATCTTATAATCTTTTAGATATTATACAACCTTCTCCCATTCTCTAAACTCTGGGACAGATCTCTTCTACCGAGCAACCTAGTATCTCCGCTACGAGAACCGCAGTGTCTCCAATGTATCTGGGGGTGTTGGTTAAAAAACCATGGAAATATGGCGAGTCTGTTTCCAAAAGAATGCAATCCCAAGGGATCCTCTTGACTCTTGGACTAGATTTAAATGGTTTACTATTCAAAATACTTTCAACACACTTTATTTACATCACTCTTTCTGTCCCAAAATTAGAGGCTGTTAGCCTCTGTTTTCTCTCTTTTTTCCAAAGTTCACTTCCTGATTGTTCTTTTGTATTTAATTCTATATAAACAGCTTCCTTTTTTGAAACTTTTACACTCTCAAAATGACTCTGATAGTCTCTTACAATGTCCAGGTTTCCAATGTCAGGGGTGGTAGGAAACTCCCATCAGTGGCACAGGAAGAGCTTGCTCCTAAGGGCTCTTCTACTGGCATTATCAGGGGAAGCTTAAAGGAAAAGAAAACAAAATATAACAGCTGACAATATTTATGCAAATTTGATATAACCATAACAAAACAATTAAATGTTAGTAGTTTTAAAGCTGCACGCCTCAAGATGTGATATAATGTAATTGCAGGTGTGTCCCCAATGGATCTGCTTACTTTTGCAGCAGAGAATCATGGGTTAAAATCTGAAGTTGACCTTCTGCAACAACAGATATCAACTTTACAGAATCAAGTTGCAGACAAAATTCTGAGAAATAAAAGTTGTCGCGTGAGAATAAAATATTACGGCAGGAAAAT